ACTCCATCGGAACCATGCAACCCCTTAACTTCACGATCAACGGTCGCGTGTTCACATTGGATACAGTTGCACAACTCCTCCCAATACGCGGGCACCTCAACCCTGGTGGTGCACGATACGGCGTCGTTAAAAAGGCCGGTGCTAACAGTGGGAGCGGCTTCGATTTCATCCTCGGTCTGAAGTTCATGGAGAGGTATTATGTTGTGTTCGACGCCGATAACAGCCGCGTTGGCTTTGCGTACACGTGAGTCAGCTCGACCTGGTGTTTAACTGAGAATGGAGGTTGATATTTTTGGACTAGTAATCACACCTTCACGAGATACACGCCTATTTCCGAGCGCGAACTACGTGTCACTGGGGAATAAGAAGTCCGATAGAATGGATAAATAGAGATGCGGACGATGCCATGGAGAGCTCTTAGCTCCAATGCGGTGGTTCGACGTACGTTTGATAGAATCTGATTTTCGACCTGCCAAAGATTTTGTGAGGATAAGGGAGGCACCTGTGGATGCCCAAACACGAGGAGCCATTTCCGACATCTAAACGGTTGAGTAGCAACATCGTTTCTATCATTCCCGTCCATCACAGATCACAGCCAGCCTCCCAGTTCAGGATCCACTCTCCATTCAAAAAACTTAGGTCACACCCGGCATGTCTGTGCGCCAACTGGGTCATCTCTGGAGCACGGTCTATTGAAGGGCCCCTCCTTAGCCACGACAACTGCGTAAAGGGAATATGTATCTGTTGTTTCCTATTCCTGCGTCCATTGTCGTTCGGTAAAGCAAACTTGTTCGCGTCTTTTGCCCTGCGATCGGGGCACCAAAACTGAGCGACCTTGTCATGTCAGTCAACCAGGCTATCAGAAGCTTCACCCGCCCAAGGTGACTAAGGGTAAAAAAAACATGCTCCAACCCCTATATCCCCGTCAATATCTGGAATGTCGGAAACCCTAACGGTGCCACCCTCCAAGAGGATATCAGCTTCAAGATCCAACCAAGCTATAACAACTTCTTCAAATCCTCGGTCACCGAAGAAACAGAAATGGACCCATCCGAGCTCTTCAAGAGCTCAAAAAAAACTTCCAAATGCAAGGAGAACAAGAACAAGGACGATGGTAAGCCTCTTCAGAACATACCACTTACAGTCAAACCGGAAACCAGGAGCGGTTAGTACCTTGTCGGGGTTTCCCATTCGTTCACATTAACGCATCCGAATAGATGCCACGGTCACTACAGCGCCGGTTTGGACTTTTGTTAGGCCTCCAAAGATCAAGTGTGCGATTGACAGCTATACAGCTGTCCCCACAGTCGATACCCTTCCTTGCACACCTTACACGCCTCGAGTCTGGGTAAATGTGAAGTACCTCGGCATAATGTATGCAAATAGAGTCTAACTGGATACTCTTCAGCGCTGTTGAAAGACGAAGGAGATTAATAGGTTCATCAGGGTGTAAACGCGGATGGGGATCTTTTGGTGGCTTTGGCTCGGCATCAACCTTCCGCTTCTTCGAAGTATGCGTGGAGCTTGCACCAGCTTTCTCCTGTCGAGCTTTCCACTCAGCGAGCTTCTTATTATGCGCCTCCTGAGCCTTTGGAAATCGTTTCTTGGCATTGTTATAGTCCTCAGTTGCTTCAGCGAGGTATATTTCCCAGACGATTGGAATCTTCCAGAAAGGCCATAAGATGTTGGCTTGAAAGTGAATGGAACTCACGACAATTGGCCAGACATATGCGGCTGCAAGTTTGTACTCGTCAGCCGACAGGGAACCACCTGCAGGCTCACCTACTCGAGAGGGCAGTTTCCCAGCCCAGAGAGGGACCTCGAACTAACTCTGTGGTGAGGTCATTGAGACACAGGTCAAGGAAGTACATACTGTCGCCAGGAACCTGTGTATAACATCTAGCTCTCGTGACTCGTGCCCTCCTGTCAGTGGATTTTCGTAGTGCTGAATTCTGAATCCATTGATTGTACCATAGAGTTTTCACGATCCCTAGAAATTGATTTGGATCCATCAGAACAACCCTAAATGATGTTAAAGACAAACCAAGAAATAGGTTGTGCATGGGGTCAATGATCATACAGTGCACAAGGTCAAAGTATGGAAGTCAGGCGAGTTCAGTCCATCGTGCACCATGCTTCTTGAAGAAATCATCACATCCTTTGTCTGTTTCTAAGGAACATTCTTTAAAACAATTCTGGCAGTGATCCTCACTCGTTCGAGGAGGAAACTCTGAAAAGAAGAAGAGGTTATAATAACCATTGGGATAGACAAGAAAGTTGTACTATTTTGAAGAGATTCATCTGAAAAAATTGACGCTTGATCAACATGGCATTTGTTGCATGGTGCCTCATTGTGACTGTGATCTGCAAAGCCATCCATTTTACACATAGCAGGGTGATCACAAACAACAGCTAGCAAGGCCACACGAACATGGCGACCTAGAAGGATGCTTTAGTGAAACGATGCTGAATGATAGACCAAGGCATACCTTGGGGAAATGCTGGTGTATAGTACACAACTCCATTATTGTACAAGTTCAAAAGATCATCGATAATCAGCTTCATGTAATTTTGGAGCTGTGATCCTGACGGTTCCATGGGTCCAGGAGTCATAAACCCCACAAGTAGGTTTTCAGTACAGTATCTGTCTCATTGTAGGAACCAAGTAGAGGTTGAAAATGGCTATTTAACACATACCTGAGTGCACGAGGAAGATTAGAAACACACATTGACATGACACCAGATGAGTGACTGGGAGCATAAACACTCGTCTTGCGAGTGAACCTGCAGACAATGCTGAGAAGTCTATGTTGAAAGCAGGAGATCACTCACCAATCAAGGCTAAGAGTTATTCTAAGGTGCAGCTCCTCAGACGTTGAGTCCCTGGAGAAAAAAGGGTTTCCCTCCTTGTCTTTGAGAGAGGACCAAATACACCCTTCAGAAATGTCATTTATCTTCCCAGGAACATGATCACATTGTTTCCAGGAATCACATGCCTTCTCAATTTCTGCACGTGCAAGAAAGTCGACTAGAAGTGACGAGGGTAGGTGTATGGGTGCAACACAGACCGGAGGTGGGCACTTTGGTCGGTGACCCGTTATCCATTGGAAGATGCTATCTGTGACAGGTCTAAATAGTTTGATCTTGCAATCTGGACATGATGAGTCGATAGGAATATCAGTAGAGAAAATCTGATGGCAGCTCTTGCAAACTGGGTGAATTATAAACTGATCGCCAAGATCAAGCCTGTGAATAACAGTATTAAGTGTCAATGGAAGATTTTGAGTGCTCAGAAGGAGAGCCAGAGTTGTGAAGATTGTGTTTAGACAGAAAAGGAGCAGTGCACAACCATGGAACGACAGCTGATGCTTTGTGTGCAGGAATGCAACAAGAGCAATGATGACCCGTGCCCACCATATCTCAGGACACCCTAGGTGAATATCACACAATGGTCGAGGAGGTGGGTACAATGTAGGGTGCTCTTGATTCACACCAGTGCCTTGATCATGGGGAATCTGAATGCCAGCAGGGGGCACTACTATATCACTTTCCTCATCTTCATTACCATCAAAGGCAGAGTTGTGTGCAAGGGGATCATTATGGATGTCATTGAAGTCTTTGGGATCATCATAAAGACCAAGATCACATTGCTCAGTCATTTTGCGAAGCAGAGATGCTGGTCTTGCATCACGAGCCGCAACGAAGGTAGACTTGGCATCAAGAGCTATAGTGGGCTGCATAGACATCGTTCTCCTGCGCATTTTTGGTGGAGACTGTATGAGTGGCTCAGGCAAAGGAAGTTGTCCATCATTTCACTGCATAGGTGATGGTGCTTGTTGAGAGAGGCCTGATGTCATGGCTGCAGGAGGAGGACGTGATGGAAGAATGACAGATGAGGTAGAGGGTATATGAGAATCTTGAGAGGCAGGCAGAATGCGAGAAGATGCAGTGCCGATAACCAATTCTGCAGGCACAGAGTCAGGCAAATGCGAGTCTTTGCTGGCATCTATGTCCATGGAAAAATCCTCTGTATTATCGCTGAGACAATCGTCAAAAATCGTTCACAACCAATCACTAGAAGTTCCAAACTTACTCAAATGACCAGAGATTTCTGGGAGGACTGCATGCTCAAGATGGTCCAGCGGTTCCTGGTGCTTGGCTAGTTGATGGTGTGTGGCCAGTCGAAGTGGAAGGCAATACATGGACTGCAGGAGTTGAGACTGGTGGCTGCGAGAGACTGCACCCACACTGGAGGATAGGCCCTCTAGTGGGAGCATGAGATCCCCCTCATGCTGATGTTCCACGTGCGTGCTGAGCCAACGTAGACTGGTTGATGGCTTGGTCATGCTGGTGCTGCTGAGAAGTTGTCATTGAGATGATCTGGCTGTTTGGATCCTTCAATATGCATGCCTCACATTTACAAAGCACCTCACGGCGATTAGATAGTGTACTTTTATTGGTAGACTAGGAAACAATCAGAACAATGTCTAAAACTTCATTATACAAGACTTACCTCATTTCTCACCATTGAGCATTCGGGAATATTAATAATATTGTAGTAAGAGTTCAAGTGAGGGACTTAGATGATTTTACAAGAAACCCTTGCCCATAAGTGCGGAATGGCCTCTCCGATGTCTGTCCTTATCAGTATGATACAGGTAGTCACACGGTGCAGCTATCTGGGCCGCTTTTGGATGGAACTGATCATATATTCCAAAGAGGAGCCAGGTATTTACATTATGAGAAGCTCGTGTAGTCAATGGATGTGAGTCAATAGGTGCTAGCGAAGTAGTCATAGAGAGACAAAGGAAAGTTCAAACCAATTGGTTCGAGGTTCTGACTAAGCCTGTCCATATATATCTCACCTGCCTAGTTGAACTTCATAGTATTTGTTCCGAACCACGTCAGAAGTCGTGTTTCTAGTCAGTACATCAGTATTCGTTCCTCATTGTTTTCTTTATCTCTTTTTGCCTTTCTTCACTTATTCCACTGTCCTTACGATGCCTCTCCAGATGGAAAACCCCAATCATGCAGTTGTTCCCAACTTTCAGTCACCCGAATATGAAGAAGCGCGAGCTCAACTCGTCAATGAAGCCATCAATGACCAGCAAGCAGCGACAATCCTAGCCAATCTCTGGTGTATTCAAAACCACATGGACAAACATCAATGGGCTGCTAGACTCGAAGGAGAAGCTCGAGAAGCAGAAGCTGAACATAGAGAAGCCACAGAAGAAGAAGCCCAATGCCAACTAGCTTTGAAAGCAGAACAAGAAGCAGCGATTCAAGAGAAGCACAAAAAGAATAAATCCAAGTACGCCCCAATCAAGAACATCGACGTCAACGTCCCTTCCAACCCCATCATCCTCCCATGTCAATACGCCATATGGAAGATGAAATCCGGCAAGTACTGTGAATTGTTCTACTTCACTAATAGCGGCCTAGAAGAAGCCTCCCGCTCCACCTTCACAGCTGATGAAGACACCCTCATCATGATGCCCACATCCGATGGTTTGCACAAATGGATTCCTGCCAGTGCAGCTAGAGACCCCAAAGCTCAGGTCATCAAAGACAAGAACCTCACATGGGAACAGTTCAATGAATCTGCTCCCCACATGATCACCCTCATGAAAAAGAATGACTGGCCAGATGACAGAGTCGACATGCACATTTCCTTCTGATTGGCGCTTCAGAACCACAGATGGCGACATGACTTCGACACTCACAAACAGCATGCGCTATTGCTATACCAAGCACAGCAGCATAGATGTTGGCATCTCGCCGCCGGTAGCTCCAACAGCTGGAGTCTCACAAAGATTAATCAGGACTTATTGCTTGAAGCATGCGAAACAATCTTCAACCAATTCAGAACTCAACAATTGTCTGTGCAGGTGCATTTAACCTTAAATACAACTACTATGAAATCACACTAAAACTTGAATTGTCTATTCATCATTCCCACACTTACCTTGTGCTCTGTGCAGCATCATGTCCAAACAACCCCATCTTACTGGTGGACATCATGTTCCACCACCCAAAAACAACCTGTGCTCTCGGACATCACGTTCCACATCACACTATGGCTATCGTTGCCATGGCCATCAGGCACCATACCTTCAGTCCCGCACCACAGTGGCAGCAGGGTCGAGCAGAATGCAGCAGCAGCAATCACGCTCTGCTAGCTCCCAGAAATGCTCCCCTCCCACTTCGCCAGAGGAAAAACCCTACAAGAAACCTAGGACTTTTTGAGACCCCAACACCCCCCTCCCTTGCTGTGCGATCTGTCTTGACCATAACTGCCATTGCACCATTGACTGCTCCGCATCCCTCACATGGGACAGCAAGCACAATACCATCTCTGAACGTATACACAAAGCCCTTTGGACTAAAGACGGCAAGCAGTTGTGTACCGCCTGGCAATGAGAGGAAGGCTGTGATAGCCACAGACATGACTCACGGCACATTTGTTCAGGGTGTGGTGCCATCACTCATGGAGCTCAGTGTTGCCCTAGAGGACAGAAAGCTTAATCCCATCACGCCTTACAAGGTAGAAGCATGGGACAGAGAGTTAAAGCATTTTTGACTCCTACCACACTTCGCTAAGATAACAGAAGGTCTCCGTTCAGGTTTTAAATTAAATTTTCCTACTATAATATCTATGCAGATTCCCCCCAATAAACAATCCATATCCATGTATAAAGAACAGTTCAACTCTAGCATACAAAAAGAACCCCAAAAGTCTCGTTATTGGCAAGCCAGGGAAATTCAGACTTATACAAAACTTTTCATTTCCACACTCCGTCGAGCCTTCTTTTCCCAACCCTTCTATCAACTCCTACGTTAATGCTAGTGACTTCCCCACTACCTGGGGCAAATTTTCGATAATCTATTTACTAATTTCAAGGCTCCCTCCAGGTTCAGAAGCTGCAACATGTGATGTAGCTGAAGCCTACCGAACCATCCCCTTGCACCCTTCTCAGTGGCCCTCCGCAGTAGTCCGAACTTCGGACATGGAGTTCTGCATAGACACCTTCACGGCCTTTGGCACCATGCCATCAGCAGGCACCTACGGCCATGTCGCCGATGCTGGCGCTGAAATATTTCGCCATTGAGGCATAGGACCCTTAGACAAATGGGTTGATGACCACATCTTCTTCAGGATCCAAAGAGAATACTTAAGAGAATTCAATCGAGAATGTGCTGAATGGCATAAGGACTTAGTTAAATGGGGCCTCCATCAAACTGGCAGCAGACTTTGGTACGGCGGCCGCATCTTCAATGATGGCACAGTAGAGGAATTCAGCGAGGATTGCTTGCAACCCTTAAGAGATCTCTCCAACGACTCTCCGAGGCATGAACATGACTGCCTCTTCAGCTTCAACCTCCAAGATATAGACGATGTCTCCTTCAACTTAGGCATCTTTTGGCAACTGGACAAAGACCAACCTTTTGCCCTGCTCACCATCTATATCAGTTTCTTATGGAACCTTCACCTCCGCATAGTATCCTTAAGGTTGAAAAATACCTATTAGTCATTCACGCATGGAGAAAGAAACCCATGCACACATTCCAGGAGGCTCTGCAACTCTACGGTAAACTGATGCACGCCTGCACAGCAGTCATAAGAGGTAGAGCTTACTTAACTAGTCTCGAATGCACCATCACCATTTGTTGTGAGAAACCTCACATGCCGCATCAACCCAACAGAGAAGTCGAAGCAGACTTGAATTGGTGGACTGACCTCCTTCAATCAGGCAATGTCTCTCGTCCCATCTACCCTCCTGCATGTTTCTCGATTCCTTTAGCATTCTCAGATGCCAGCTCAGGTATTGGCATAGGAATAGTAATAGGGAAATGCTGGCGCACCTGGAAACTCATACCAGGGTGCAAGACAGCTAACAATGCGAAGAGAGACATTGGTTGAGCAGAAGCGATCGGCTTCGAACTTCTGGTGCATACACTCGCCACTCTCCCTCACCTTGGCGACAACATCATCGTCTACAGTGACAACACTGGAGTCGTCAAGGGCTGGTGGAAGGGACGTCATCACAACAAAGCTATCAATGATGTCTTCAAACGAATTCATGACTTTGTTCACACTGTACCCAGACGTTTCGAGATCCACACAGAGTATGTCACTGGCGAATCAAACCCAGCTGATGATCCCTCCAGAGGGAAACTCGGACCAGAGCACCTTCTACTCCCTGAAGTCCAAATTCCCCATCAAATCAGAGACTTCATTGTTGACGCCACATATCCTATCACCCCCACAGAGTTCCACCTTTTCCGCAACGGGCAGTACACCCCTCCCGCCGCTAAGCTCATCAATCGCGCCCTTATCTGACAACAAGCCTATGAGTGAACAAAAGCCTCCCGCGCAGAAGAAGATCAAATCATTGTCAATGCTCTTGCAGATTAGTTCAAGCACTTCTCTTTCCCATTTCAATGCTCCACTACCATCCTTCCTCCAGCCCTCATCAAATGCATCTTCACCTCAACAATACAAACCTGCACTCACCCCTCTACCATCTCCCCTTTGACCTCACTGCCTAGCCCGCGAGAGACTCAGCAAGTGGACGCCTTCAGGAAACAACGCACGTCTTTCCCTGAGCAACACTTCAGACGTACCTGTCTCGGAAGAGCAGTTAGACTGTATCCTTGAGGTTATGGGTTCATCGTGGGCACAATCCACCAAAGAGACCTATGGAGTGGGTCTCTTAGTGTTCCACGTGTACTGTGATTCTTTAAAGATACCTGAAGACCAACACTGTCCAGTATCTCCCACCCTCCTTCTGGCTTTCCTCTCCAGCTGCGCTGGATCCTACTCAGGTAGCGCTCTTGCTAATTATACTGCCAGCTTGAAAGCCTGGCACCTCTTGCACGGTCATCCATGGATTGTTAATGCAAAAGAACTCAAAGCTATTATAGATGGAGCCATGGTGCTAGTGCCAGAATCTTCCAAATGTTCAAAGCGAGAACCTTTCACCATCCACATCCTTTCTATTATATGCTCCTCCATTAATCTCAGCGACCATCGTGACACCGCAATCTTCGCATGTATCACCACAACCTTCTATGCCATAGCGAGAGCCCATTCAGTCACATAGTCTGTATTATACAGGCAGCCAAGGTTGAACATATGCTGTTCCATACAGGCCAGCAGACATCGGCCGATCAAATACGTGTGCCCATGTTGAACATTCGGCTGGCTGGTTCATTGAGAGATAAATTCAACAACTGGGCTCATACATAGGGATACTCAATATTGACATGTCGGCCGGTGGCCAGACAACACAGGCAGTGGAGTGTGATATTGTCAGCTGGTCCCATGTAGCATATAGTAGCTGTGTGTACCAGTCAGCCAATGCCAATGCTGGGTATGAAGCCATCATGCAGGCCCATGCAGAATATATGTCCTGTGCATATCAGCTGGCTCATATGGAATACATTCCTTGTGCATATTGGTCGGCCAATGGTGGGTATGAGGCCATCAGATGGGCCGATGGAAATGAAAACCTGATGCTATCAGATGGGCCGATAGATAATAATGCCTGATGCAATCGGGTGGGCCAATGGAACTGATTCCATCAGATGGCCGATATAGACAAATACCTGATGCAATCAGGTGGGCCAATGGAAATGGATTCCTGATGCAATCAGGTCGGCCAATATAAAAGAATCCCTGATACAATTGGGTGGGCTGATGGAACTGATACCATCAAGTGGGCCGACATAAATGAATGCCTGATGCAATCCGGTGGGCTGATAGAACTAACACCATCAGGTGGGCTGATCTAAACGAATCCTTGATGCTATCGGATGGGCCAATGTGAATGAATCCTTGATGTTATCAAGTGGGCCAATAGAACTGATGCTATCAGGTGGGCCGATGTAAATAAATCCTTAATGCTATTGGATGGGCTGATATAAATGAATCCTTGATGCTATCAAGTGGGCTGATAGAACCAATGCTATCAGGTGGGCCGATGTAAACAAATTCCTGATCCTATCAAATGGGCCGATATAAAATAAATTCCCGATGTTCTCAATGGGGCCGATAGAAATCATGCTATCAGGTGGGCCGATGGAAATCAGTATCTGATCAAATCATGTGAGCCAATTGGGACGACCCTCTAATTCTATCAGATGGGCCAATGCAGAACGGGACTCCTATGCTGATCGGTTGGCATATATCAGTTCGGTCAGTCGGTCTCAAGGAAAGATGACTTTGGGGAATCAACACCATCAATTCAAATTGATCTGCAATCTTGTGATGAATCCATCCACAAAGATACATGTAACTGTAATATATTATTATGCTTGATCATGAGTCCATCTGGGCTAAAACTGAGACATCTCAATATACATCCATGTATGTCACATACTGTGGCCGAGGTGTCCCCATAAAGTTGTGAAGGCTATCATGCATGAACCATGTCCAAACTATGTGATCACCAGTAAATGTGATGCTATGCCTGACGATGTGTCCAAAGCAAGCAACCATTGCACCAGAGTTATAGCGCAACTGTATACCAAGGTTGGACAGGGTCATGAGCCCACCACAATAGTGGCTGACACTAGTCATGATGTCGAAGCCTTCTGGAGCAGATCTTGGATCTCGGTGAAGAGGGCATTGCCTGTTGCAAATCACAGCTGTGCAGTTGAACACCAAGGCCCAAAGTTGCATACAAGTATATATGTGATCAAGGCTGTTGTCTATGGCCCATCGAGCGAGTTTGATCTGCATGGTAACTGAGGCACAATACAATTCTGGATGCATCACCTGAAGAGCTGCCAAGGCAAGGAGTGCCGAGTGCTACATGGATGTCATGACCGTAGGACCACCTTCCCCCTTAAGTGTAGCCGACACCTCGGGAGCGAACACACCGGTCGGTGGAAAACTGTATGGCTGGAACAGTTGAGTAAACACAGACATCACATTGGAAAAAGCAGGCCTGACCTCTCAGCCTTGCTGGAACCAGCAAGGAGCTATGTTGATGCATCCTGGGGTCAATGGGCGCTGGTCGCTCTTATAGAAATTCCCAGGGAATGTGTGCCACTTAGTCTCTTCTCCACCGGTCATGCTGTTTTTCAAGAGATGACCCATGCTGATGGTTGCTTCTTCCATCTCGGCCTGTTGGGCCAATGTCGACGTCGATCAAATAGCGACAATATATGGGCTCACTTGAATCCATGGGCTAATGGCGTCTGGAAGGTACCATAAGACGATACGGCCACCGGAATCTAACAGCACTGTTGGCTTGTCCAGCAATTGATGAGAACCATGAGGAAATCTTTGAAGTAGAGTATCTTCATGTTTGTTTATCCTCCTGGTGGAGCGTTTGTTGAGGGCCTCATTGTACCGAATCATGTCAAGATCAAGCTGAACTGAGATGTGTTAGTACATGACCAACTGACTAGAGGAATGACCCACTTGGGTGTAAGTAGGTGTCAGCAAGAACTTGGGCCAACTGCCGACATGCAAGCATGGTCGGTACATCCAGTGCTACTGGAGGCAAGACTGACTTTTACTGGCCACTGACATGGCAAGCAAAAAGCTGGTGCACAAAGTCACCGGCAATGCATGTGGTATGCAATGCCCAGTCAGTTGGAATCGGAGTCATGATTGGGGGTAGAGCAACAGAGATGATTGATGATTGGCTCATATAGAAAGGACCAACATTCATTAAATAATATGTTAGACATGTCCGATATTTCTGGCAATATCGGTAATAGGACTGGAATCATTTAGTAATACTATGTACATTTCTGGTGATCAAAGTGAAATCAGCGATGACACCGCACAAGCCATGTAGAGTCACTCCTTGTTGGCAAATTGCCTGCGGGCATTTGAGAGCGCTTCCTCCAGCTCTGCAATTGGTGCATCAAGTTGTGACAGGGTGGACACAGCCGCAGCGGCAATTTGAGTCTTCTGCTCCAGCAAAAAAGCCATGGCTTCACTGAGATGTTGCAGGTGGGCTCTCACTGCCACAATTTGATTGAACAGGGCATTGCCCTCCACCTGATCGGTGACCGCAGGACCCAGCACAAGTATTGCTCCCATCGGCTGATGATTAGCATCAGTGCAAGTCCTGTATGAGAGAGAAATGACTGACCGGTTGTTCAAAGTGGTCTTGTGTCATCTCTATGACCTCATGCATGTTCAAGACCAGCAGCTCCAACCCCAAGCGGTCAAAGCAATCCTTCCAGCAATCATAGCAGTGGTTAGAAACCACTCAGTGGTTGGATCTAAGTTGAGGGTTATGTGGAGAGCAATGCTCAAAGAATTCATCATGCAATTGCTCGGCTGTGATGGTTCCAGTTTTAAATTGGGAAAATCTGCTGATGATGCCACGAAGGAGGTCAGGCATGGTTGGATGAATGTTCAGCACCAACAATATGTTGATATAGAGGAACACAAAACACTGATTTAGGCATCAGCCACAAGATCATAATGACCAACCAACTAATAAAGCACTTACATCTGCCTCTCACTGAAGGTGCTGGATGAAACTTGTTTTGTAAGCTGGTGTCCGAGGTATATGGTTCCGGTCGCATGCAAGCCAGATGGCGGCGAATCGAGAAGTAGCAAACTCTAATATGTTTGCAGCATCCCATGCAGTAAAGTCACTAAGTTCATAGGTATAGAGTGTAGAGGAGTTGGACATGATGTTTGTAGTTTTGATCAGTGCAGAAAAAACTTTTATGGGAATTGGCATTGTGCTACTGACTAATCCACTGTGGCACTTGCTGATGGCCAAATGAGGTTGTGGCTGCATGTGGACCCCTGTCACTCTACCACTGCCACCAGCCCTTTTGTTCTGTCAAAGCTGTCTTGTGTGTGCTGTGAGAGTCAGAGATAAATTCAAGCCTGGTGGGCAGCATAGCAGCTGTGCCCGACCATGTAGGTTGCATCGGCTTGCTGCATTCGGCCGACCCATTGTTGGGATTTGTGAATAAAAAATTCAACTGTCCAAATCATTTCCTAACCGATCAACAGCAGCTCCTCTGCCCAACAATCATGCAGGGCCAGCATTCTAAGCCAATGCACTCGGTAAACTATCACACATCAATTAGCACAACACAGGAACAGATAGGTCAGCGAAGTGCACACATTCATTCATCCAATCATTGTTTGCAGAATCCCCCTCCACATCAATGGACCAAAACCATGCTAACATGTTATTCCTTTGACCGTGTATATTTGGGTCTGCCACCACAGTAGTAGCCTTTAGGTCGGCCTTCTCCAACGGCTGGTACTTGGTCAATAAGTCATCGGCGCCAAGGTGAATGAGTTGCTTGTGGCATTTTGAGTATATTTGTGCATTCAGGTGAAGAACCTTGTCAACTGAGTGCACCCGGGCCTATGCCCTGGTTGACTGTGCTTGCGACTTTGCTGACCGAACCGTTGTGTGAAAGAGAATGGCCTTGTCTGCTAAGTTAACCCTGATGGCATGCAATGCATCATTTGCTTGGCCTTCTTTTAATGATATTTCTTGCAGGACCAGGTCCGCAACACCCCACTGGGCACACCTTTCTATGCCGATATTGGATGGCAATGGAATCACCATGGTCTCAGGATTGAACTCTACTGGTATATCATATCGGTCTTCATCATCTGGCCTATCAGGATCCTCGCATGATGACCCAATGGAGTTCAATTCTGCTGTATCCAACATCACCGTCATGCTGTCCAAATGGTCACAGCGGTGTAATTCATCGCCGAGAAATGTTACTACGACCCTGACAAATTCATCAAGTTGTCCTTGTAATCTGTCATGATGCCGGGCTACGGCCAACTTCTGTGTGTCTGTTGGCCGCTTTCCCAACTTCTTTACATCAATGAGGAGGGCTACTTGCGACTCCTCCAGTGTAGTTCCACAGGCCAGCCAAGTTGCAGCACCATGATGGATCTTGCCAGCAGGCCATTGTGCCTGGTGATTCAACAGGGGCAACTCTTGCTGTTTTCTGGTTGGTGCTTTGCCAAAGCATATCAGCGTATTGTACATAGATATTCCATTGCAATGGACATTTTTCAATCAAACTTCATATATGTCCATGGAGCTGGAATTATGGAGTCGGTCATCCTGAGCGGCAATGGCCTCTGCTTCCCATTTAACAAGGGTGTCATCCTCGGCGGTCTCGCTCAACCGGTCAAATGCATGTCGGCTGTCCTGGACTCCCTGCACAGCCTCCTTGAATTTTCTGCAAAGGAATTTGCCTAAATGCATTTGTATTTGTGAGCTCGGTACAATGATATTCCTCACTGATGCGTATCATCTTCATAAAATTGCAGTCAATCATTTGAAAGTCTAAACACTCCTTTCGGTAGGGGATGGACATCCCCCTTACCGACGGTGATATGATGTTCAAGGGCACCCACAGTGTCTCCATGATTTCACCATCAATCCTGGTGGCACTGCTTATGAAGTTGGATGCATACCGCACATAGCATTTGTCTTGATGGCCGCGGACATGCCAGAGCCCAATACCAGGAATAATGTCCATTCCCCATGGAAGGTCAAGATAAGGCGACTCCTCAATCCACTTCCTGAGATGCTTGTTGTATTGACAATTAATGTCATAGAATGTGAATGCCCGATCGATCCCATATGTATTGTACCCCAGAGCTTGACAAAGTGCATAATCCATGTTCATCTACCTTTGGCTGACAAACTAATCAGTTCAACCCGTCTAATTTGGCAGTTTGAACAGCAAACCTTTCCCCCTTCTGAAAGTACACCATTGAATGAGGAACAAAACACCCATGTCTCGCGTAAGCACACCCGCCTATCTCTGTTGCCTTCAGTTTGTGGTAGGAGGCATTTGCCTGGTTGACCACTCAGTGGTTGTTACATTCTGACCTTTGTACAATGTCCTGTGCCTGGGATAGATGCATTTTGTATCAGGCATCGCTGACCATGAAGCCCAAGCCATCAGTCAATGCCACCTCATCGGACAGATTGGTGGGATATAAATACTCAGCCTTGAAATTGCCATCCATAACCAAAGATCTGGAATACAGCCACACAGGGTCAGACTCATTTCTCTCCGACAAATTGAGGTTTACACCGGGCTGAGGACATGCAGGACAGAAGAGTGCAAGCTCCCCTGGCTTTGGCTTTGGCTTCTCATGACCAAACCCATGCCACTTGAGCTGCTTCACTTGTCTCCACTGCCTGCTGACCCTCATTAATTCTCTGTACTGGTTCTTTCAGCCATTGTAAGCAACACAATGCAGGGAGTCCATGTGACTCACTGGAACCAGATGAGGGAACATGCTGGAGGTGATTCACCTTAATTTACTGTAGTAGTTCATTGTCAATGTCCCACATTCCAGGTTATCCAGCAGGAAGTCGTCCAACACCGCAAATATGAATGCCGTCTTTGGCGAGGTGAAAGACGCAGGGAAGAGGCCAGTTTCTAATAGTTGCATGTCAGGGCTCATTGCATCAGTGCACTTACAGAATCTGATCATCAAGGAGAGGAGCCCAGAAGTATCTACCATAGTGGTCATCTGAGGATCGTTAATGAGGGGTATCCATGGGCCTTCAGTCAAATGGTCTCCTTCATCATCTGTATCACACCATTCATCGGTCAATCTGGGGCAAGGCTTACCTGCATGGCTAAGGTGGACTTCCAATCCGATCTTGGTCAATGATGTGTCCTCAAAGAATCCCCCAGTCCATTGACTGATCCAATGGAAAGGCATGCGGCTGTGAATCGTCAACAATGAGTGCAGAAGAGCGGTTCACTCATGCAGCCATGACATCTGTAGACTCCATCCTTTGGACAGACCAAGCACATCCTGTTTGAAGGTGGACCCTCTCACTGAAGTAACAAGTCCAAGTAGTCCTTAGTCTTGTACTGCCACTCATGCAGATAGTCATTTTGACTCTTGATATTTGGTATCAGTACATGGGACAAGGCAAGTGAATGGTGAACTTGCCATGGACTTGCGAAGACGAAAAGGCTCCAAGTTGCATTCGCCCAGGTCATAATGTTTATATTCGCCCTCCGCATGAAGTCCTCTGGTGGATTGCTGCTTGGTAGGCAATTTTTTGGGTGATGAATGAACCGATGTTGTTCTGCTGTAATGTCGAGCTTTGACAAATTGTCCTGTATCTCCTCTAGATGTTCTTTTGTCCTCCCATTGAACCAAGGAGGATTTCTTTGGAGGACTCCAGGCCTTTGGCTTTGACTTCACCATAGACCAAAGTAGTGCTATGATTGTCAGGATGTGTTGTTTGAAATAGGATGCTTAGACTTTGGGACAGTTTGGGGCTTACATGCAACTGCCAAATGCAATGCATAGTATGTAATAGTCACTTTGATCTCTTGCAAATCATCAGCAGGGATATTCATGGGGCAATGTCAATAGTTCATAGTGATTGTGTATATAGTATATCAAGAGCACTTCAGGACCTCTGATTTCACTCCACACACTCAACCATGCATCTAAACCACTTGATCAGTCTTGTAGAAACTAGGCTCATGCTATTTGGCACAATATAGTCCTTACGTGTACTTATGACATGGGTATGTCACTTATGTGAATCTTTGCTCACACAACCTCATAGAAGCTAGGCTCACGCTATTCGGCACAATGTAGCCCTTACGTGTACATATGACATGGGTATGTCACTGATGTGAATCTTTCCTCACACGACCCTTCCTTCTATTTTTTGTTGCATCAACCACATCAACACTCTCCTGCACTCACATTTCCAAGTCCTTGATGCTACTGTGACATGGCTCAGATGAAGATCAATATAGCGGATCAGCCTCAGTTGAATAACTGAGAGACCACCGCTCTGCAGTCCCACGTTGAGGACTGGGAGAAGGCAAGTGGAACTGAGCAATGACAGATCTTCAAAGTGGCCACCAGAGAGGCCAGACTCTTGGCTGCAAAGATGCACCAAGAGCTCTTGAAGCAACAAAAAGAGGTAGGTGTTTCAGCTTTGATGTTGGGTTGTGCTGCATTACAGTCACCATGAGCAGAAATACAGGCAGTAGTTCCACAATCACAAGAAACACAAAGCTGATGCTAAAGTGCCGATAAAGCTGCAAAGGAAATGGACGGCACACCAAGTCATCGAAGAGTAGTGGAAGGCCGACATTCTTCAGCAAATACATGAAGAGATTGAGGAGGAGCCTGGGCAGAAGGAAGTCCTTAGGAGGTATCAGCCAATGATGACAGCAATTATGAAAGAGCTGAATGAAAATGAGTTGAAGGAGGCCCAGGTGAAAGCCGATGAGTGGACAAATCAAGCACCTGATGCCACAGTCCAAGCCAAGACGGCTAAGAAGAAGGGCGAAAAGATGATCAAGCACTTCACAAAGGAGATGTTTACTCAGGCCAGTATGAGACTCTTTGTATTGGGATCCTGGAAGGATGAGAAGGGCAGCCTGCTTACATCTGGGCAAGTTGATTCAGTCAACCGGTCGGTCAGGTTGGTCATTATACTTACATTGTTCGGCAGGTTTGACTTCAATGAACACCTCGGTATGGGCTCCAGCTTCATGAAATGTAAGGACTGGCCGGTCATCTTACTGGCATGGGAAGACTTCATCATTGATGCATTCAGTGAGTCTCGAGACCATTTTAGTGGTGCTTCATTTAATCCATGTCACGTCAACCAAGACCAGGATCAGGACCAGGACGGCACGCTGCTTGGAGGCACTCGCCGGGTTCTGAAACCTTATGATGAGTTTGACCTGGACCACATGGGTTTGCCAATGTTGCCCAATATTGAGGATGTCTCACTCAACACCAAGAAGGGAATGATTCAGTCATTCCTCACCATTCATTACCATAAGCCTGTTGATAGAAAATCTGCAGCATCATCTGATGCCCGCTACCACAGGAATATGCTGTGGAAAACTAAAGGTCCCAGTGCCTTGGAGCAACATAATGAAGGGACGGTCCAGATTCATCTCCAGCACATACCTGCCAGATGATGCAAAAATCATGGACCCATCTAAAATGCACCTGGATGAAGCCAATGCCTTGTTGGAATGTTGGTTGGACTGACAGGACAACCAGGTTGGACTAACATTGAAGTTCAAGGCCTAGATTAACGACAAGGGCAAGATGCACCCTCCTGTCGGCGAGGAGTCTGAGGAGTCTGACGGTGATGCTGATGATGAGGGCATGTGGCCCAGGCCAACCAAAGCGTCATTGGCAACCACTGCACTGTCACTGGTTGGCATTGCCAAACAGCAGCCGAGGCTCATCAAACGAGTTCATGTCAGCTCTGCTGAAGAAGAATCTAACAATACCGATGCAGGTGTGTCTTGCTCAAAGGTCAATGCGCGCGCTCCTGACTGTGCAAGGCAATGGGCAAATGCACAATACAGTGACCAGGTGGGACACCAGTCAGAGTCAGATGACCAGCCACTGCCCAAAAGCTTGGGGAAGAGAGTCAGAATTGAGCCTGCCATTGTCACACCGAGCACAGACTCAACAAATGAAGACCAACCGATGGTAGGTTTGGCCAGGAAAGTCTGCCATGATAGGAAAACAATTGTTGCAAGGAAGACCCACATGCCCACAGTGCAGGTGAGCAAGGAATCAGAAGATACCAATTTTGGCCACACTGCCGGAAAAGCCAGGAATCAGTCAACTCACGCTCATCATACTGGCCAGCAAGCACATGGCTTCGGCCCACATTTAAGTTGTCAGGGTCTCAAACATCTTCATACATCAACAGCGGGCTAGGACCATGTGCCATGCAAAACTGGGGCTACCAGAGATGCATCACTGGTGGTAAATGACCGGTCACTGAAGAAGACCAAGGCTACCAGGGATGTATCACTGGCAGTAAATGACTGGTCGCCCAAAAAGACCAAGGCTATCAGATCAGTCGTTCAGTCGCTCTCTGATGCACCAGCAAAGAGCACCAGGAGCAAGGTTGACAATGCACTTGGCGCCCAAATTCGGCAAAAGCCGAAAAGATATGCTGACTATGTGTAGTTGTTGGCAGTCTCATGCATTAGATAGCTTGTTCCATTCTACTCAATCATTGATTATTCCAGTATATACTTGGTATTTGTGGTGTTATGACTGGGGTCGGTCGAGCTGTCTAAGTCCAAATGGACAATCTGCTATAAGCAAGACAGATGTAGTTCTTCTCTCGAATGAGAGGTCAGAGGTTTCTGGCTAAGGCGAGTGTAGGCGACTCCCTTAGAATAGTGGTTCTCAGATAACAAGGTTGGAGACCTTGCTAAAGGACTTGTTCCAGGTAAAACCCAGTAGATTAAAGTGAGGAATACAGATGGTAACTACTGTGCTTAAATAGACTATATGGAGCGCACAGACCAAGCTAAGAAAGGAAGGCGTAAAGTATGCTTATCAAGATAGAAGTACAAAGGGAAGTAAGGTCTGAAGATAAGAGATAGCGGATGCTATACATGAAGATGATAACGGTTGCTAACACAATAAGTGGATTTAGTGATGATATGGCAGATGTATTGAAATGTGATGACCCTCTTTGTGATCGTAACTCTCATAGTCCATAGTCTGGTCCTATAGTCGAAAATAGGGGTGTGAGTTGACCGTAACATGTGGAACATTGTCAGTCTCGGTACTCAGTCTTAAGTACATGTGGTATATATAGTGACATCCCTACTCGGTCTTCTACATCACTGGATTGGAGAATGTCCCCAGCCCATCTTTCTCATTGCAAGCAGCAATATATGCAGTGGATCATCAATCTCGTGGTGCATGTTCATGAGTTGCTGAATTTTGACAACATCATCGCTGGCAGTGAGAAATTGGTCACGTGCATGCTGATAATCTGATATCAACACCCGGTTGGCATCCAAAATATTTGCCGATTTTTGTCCTCAGTCATCTCCTGTCGAGCGGTGGTCATTGTCATCACACTCATCATATGACAAATTTGAACCTACTCATCACAGCGTAAATGCTGTCAAGCCTCATATTAGCTCAGCGCAGCAATTCCTCACCAGTGTCAACCATTTGACTAGGCAAGCCATTACTTGGTGCTGGAGATGCGGCCGGTGAGCAATTATCGAAACACATATCATATGATACTGGTGTGTCACCCGCTGCACCTGACTGTACTAACCTGTCACTAATACACAATTCCAACAAACCTGAATCAACCAAGTCAATGAGCAGTGCAGCAGTGGAAGCACTGTCAAAGTGATCATCTCCGCCCAATGGCAAATCTTCCCAGCACATCTCGAAATTGGCTGAATAATTGTCAGTGATGGTTGGCAGTGTTAATTGATGATACTTACCTGCATATCCCACCGCCGATGCACATGGACCATCAATCCAACACATATCATATTGACTGGCCGACAAGGGTATGCTGGCATCCACAATCTGAGTTTCAGCAGTCGCCAGTTCCAGGATTGGTGCAAGATCAACCATTGGTGGACTGTGTTCCTTATCCCAACAAAGGTCATATTTACATGACACCAGTGGTGCGGCTGCATGCATGTCAATGCTCGGCGCTGAATCAGCCTCAGTGTCCCAACACATGTCAAATGCTACTGAGTCGGTCAGATATGAGCAAAGTCATGAAGGGACTAGAATGACTTGAGCCTGTAACTTGTGGGTCGGCCAATTGTGTTGCAGTCGGTGTTTGCACTGTCGGCGCTTGATCACCCTCAGTATTCCAGCACATGTCAAATACTGACATTGTTAACTGTAAACAAAGGTCTCTTGAAAAGCAAATTTATCTTGATCGCCAACATTGTTCTTAGGATGTGCCAGGGTTTGTGTCTTGTTGGATGGCATGGTGGAGACTTTAGATTTTGTAACTTGAAGTGGGCCGGATATAGTTGGTAGAGTTGGTGAGATGCAAATATTGTTGTAGCCCACAGGGATCCGGTCTTTTTGAGGGGATGATATCGTACACAACTTTGGTGGCACCCACTGGTCCCACATGAGGAAAAAATTCCAGTTGGCTTTGATGTGCTCGTCCTGTAGCCTTCGAGGTTTGTCAACATGATTATCATGGGAATACATTGACGATTTTGACAGACTTGAACGCTGTGTTTGAAGAACAATGCAGAAGTGCCATAGCTACTGCCAAACCTCAGCCATTCCCAAATTTCAGCCATTTCCGGCAGTGTCACAATATGGCGCTGCATGTCCCATTGACTTCTGTCAAGTTCTACACACATCCACACAATGTTGTTTTCGTCATCACTAGGTAAATACTCGTCCTACCTCTTCCGCTGTTGTTGCATTTGACATTCGCCACCATCACCCTTACAGTTTTTCGATCATTCAATCGCCACCATGCTGTCACAAAAGGAATCCGATGATGTTTTGATGCTCACCAACAGGTCTGTGCGTGATTCGGTCAGCCAAATTAAATGTGGGGAAGCAGATGACCAGGCAGTTGTTGATCAGGCGCATGACATTGCGCAGCAGGTGGTGTGTTCTTCATTGATTGTGGTTATTTTTAGTGGCTCAACAGTCTACAGCTCTGCAGCAGCACAGCAGGGCTTGTTCGGTCATATCGCTGTTTCTTCTTTCGGTGGCCACTGAGGTCCGGGCAACCATAAATCAAAGTCTTGTTCCACAATGGAACCATGTCCAGGATAATGATCCACATATGGAGTCACATCCCTTCTTTACAAAGACCGTTGGATATGGTGAGTGGGCATTCTTTTGATCCAATGTGGTAGCTTAACATCCTTACAGAACAACTGGTGCCAGAGCCAGCAGAAGCACAAGGATGAGTAGTCTCCCCAATCCCAACAGTACCTCTCAAACAAATGTCGATTCCGCCGATCGATTCACTGCCTCATGCCAGTCATGCACACAACCTGGTTGTTCCTGGCACAATGCCCAACAAGGGCAAACGGTCTGACCACGGCACTTGTCGATCCAGAGAGGACAGCCCAGATGCCGAGTCAGGCAGGAAGAAACAAAAGGTCCTCAAGTGTTTGTCGAAAGCCATCATCTCTGACACTGAGGACAAGGACAGGCAGCCGACTGGTACCATTGTAGTTATGGTATGAATTCCTCCCATCATTTGTGACCAACAGCTTACATCACCTTAGCGTTCCAGGATCCCTGAATCTTCTGGTGCAGCACCGACAACATCAAAGGTAAGCACGGCAGCACGCTCAATGCCAATCTCATTGCTGACTTTTTGCAGGGCATGACAAAAAACATGAAGCAGGTGAGATTTACCTCGTCCTGTCGGTCCTCATCTCTCAATCATCTTCAGCCAGATGCTGAACCAAAGATCAGCCAACCCCAGCCACGTGGCAAAGGAAAGGAGAAGGCCGTGGACATTGCCGAGCCCATCAGAGGGCACCAGCTACTGAAGTCCAATGCTGAGGAGGTTCATTTGCCATGTTAATCGCATTGACTGGGTACTGACTGTCTTATAGTACACTCCACCATGCAAGAGATGCATCAGGGAGTCTTGTCTTGTTGTGGTCAGCAGGAAGGGGCAAGCTATTAAGTCCTGTGTGAAGTGCCACTTCATGAAGGTCCGGTGTAACCGACCCATGTTGGTCGATACCAGGGGTCCTGCAACAACTCAAAAGGCCCCAAAGTCGCGTCCTCAGTCAAAGGCTGCACCGGCCTCCAAGTCCAAGGCTCAGTCCAGGACCACCAAAACAACCTCACACATTCGTCCACCAACTCCTATCCTGGAATCCGAGGATGCTATTGAGGATACCGGTAAGTGTTTTTGTTTTTGTTTTAATATGATTTAAGCCTTGCCTTGTATGTAGAGGTGTCTGTCACCGGTCACAATGATGCCGAGATGGATCATGATACGGACACCGAGCGGCATACTGACATTGCTATGGAGATGTCAGTTGAGCCCGATGATCCTATTATTGTTGACCAGCCTGGAGCCATGGCATCTGCGGATGACTTCCCCGCCGACCATTGGCTGGAGAACACTGACATGCCTATTCCCATTCCCATTCCCCCACCAACTCCTGCAGCCGACCTCATTTCCCTTCCTTCAGCACCTTCATCACTGACCATCCTTGAACACGTGCTAGCACTCACCACTCAGGTCACAGCCATGCAAATGGCCAATGAGAATGCTCTTGCCAGGGTCAATGCAATGGAACAGGAGTTTGACACCTGGATCTCCTCCATGCATGCCGAGCTTTCCTCCATGCAACTTGATGTTGGCGCCACAGTCACATTGGTGAATGGACTTGTCGGCCTGGTGGAGAAGCTTTGGCAGGAGCAGGTCCTTGCAAATCCATCATTCCTGCCACCGATGATAAGTCATGGCAATGATACCTCAGCCACCACATTCAGCACGAGGTACTTAAATGGTGTGTTCAGCCCTTCAGTTGCTCCCATCCCCATTTCTGTTGGTGTCGGTCAAACATTGGTGTCCTGCCCTTCTGGTCGTCCTGACATGCAGGGCAGCGTGTTCACATCTGGATTGGCATCCTTGGCATTAGCACACGCCGGTCCTTCATAAGCTCCCACTTCAGTTGAAATATATTTTGCTATCACACCACCTGACTCTGCGGTGTGCTCCCTCCTCTGGTCATTCAGCAGATTACATAGTTGTACCATACATCACTTGTCAGTCGTATATTGTACATTGAATCCTGTGTGAATCGAGCACTGACAGCATGTCGGCACAGTTGATCTTGGTCGGCTTTGTAGTTGGTGTGGTGTACATACTCAGTTTGTTCAAATTTGACTCATTAATACTTGTTACCTTCCGGCCTGTTGACTCGGTTGATTACACCCAGTGGCCCTTGTTGCGCTGCAATGTGGCTGCCTACTCCAGTTCCCGGCAATTCATTGTACATCATATTTGACCAAAAGTGTTTTGACCTTGGTTGTCCTAGCAAGTATATGATGACAACCAGTCTATTACCAACCTATTGACTGACCAACTCATCCATCATATTTGACCGAGGTGGTCCTGGCAAGTACATCATGGAAGCTGGTCAATAAATACCTACCTATTGACAAACTACCCAACCATGTCATCAATGATATTTGGCCAAGTGTCTTTTCACTGAGGTGTTCCTGGCAAGTGTATTGTGGAAGCTGGTCTGTGAATACTGACTAATTGACTGACCTATGTCCATAATATTTCTATATACTTAGAATCTTGGCCCATCTGTATATATCAGTACCAGCACCCACTAGAACAGGGATATTTCAACCTTGGCTGTACATATTATACAAGGGTAAAGTGACTGCAGTATGTGATAGCGAGGCTGGGAGAGTTCACAGTGCTCACAATCAAATCCTTCGATCTGGCAAAGCACATCTCATGTCATCATGTTTCCACCACCACCGACCGCAATGGTCTGCCAGTGACCAAGTTTCACATTCCAAGCATGAAAGTGTCTCCGTTAATCAGGGAAAACACTTTCTGGGTGGCACAAGAAGGTCCTTCTGACCCGAAGGCAGCACTGGAAAACCACCTCCATGTTAATCCTGCCAGAAGCAAAGCCCATCTCTTTGCCTGGAAACACCCCAAAGGTATGAGACCTCTTTCCAAGAGAGAATTGATGAAGAGACTCGCAGCTATTGCACAAGCAGCCAATCTCCCAGACCTCAAAGGCCATGGCCTCCAAATTGGTGGAACACTCGAATACTTGCTGAGAGGAATTCCTTTCAACGTAGTCAAATCTATGGGTAGATGGTCTAGTGATGCTTTCACTATTTACCTCAGAGATCATGCAGTCGTCATTGCTCCCTACATTCAAGCCTTATCGCCAGCACTCGAACCTTTCTCCCACCAAATGTTACCGCCAGTACGTTGAAACAACAGGGTGAGTGTAGCTCCTACATATACAGGGTGTCAAGCTTCGCTAGTCACATTGCTACTCTCCTACATCTATGGGATCACAGCTCACCTTGAAACCCTTTCAGGTTCAGACGCATGCGCATTGCGCCGGGCTGAAAAGCCCTACAGGCTTTTGCCCAAACTTTCCTTTCATTTCCCCACTTGTTAGTTCCCCCCACGAAGTTTTGTATTTCGCTATACATACCAAATACATCCTAGCATGTCACCTCGTTTCAAACAAAAAGCCACCGCACTTCGAAGGCATAGATCAATTCAAGGGTAAAACACAGTGATTTGCTAAACCAGTACCTATTCTAGGTCCTGGGAAACTGAATGAGCGGTCGGCCTCGCTTATATAAGCACAATTGTAAATTTCTCATTCAGAATGCTTCACTCAATCATTAAACTGTGGACGAGATCCTGCGCACACGGTGGTCGGCGGGGGTTCTTGTGTTCTTTCTAGTCTATTGTGCGACGCTGTAACCGCGACAACAGGTCATCGTTCTCTGGAAATACGGAGTCCTCCATCGCGGTGCTAGTAGTCTTAGCAGTCTCATGGTATACAGGACTTCAGATGGTCGGACAATTCGCGTCCTCGACCATTATCGACTTGGGATATCCCTCATGATGGCCAGGAGCCCAAAGAAATTTATTACGCTTGAACTACTCATGCGATGGGAGGTTGGCAGATGGCAGAACTCCAGCTTCTTGAACGCGCCGCGGGCCCACTGTCCAGGTGTCGTCGCGCTTCCGACGTGGTAAACAGTATCGTACCAATATCAATTCTCTTAGCGTGGGTATATCGCACTGGCAGCCTTCCACGCCTGCGGCCTGGCCCATGTCCCACTATTCTTGTAATCATGTACATTTTTTCCCAATTACCGGCGCCGCAATACAACGATTCATGTCAACAATCTGTTATGTTGGCACAGTCTCTTTCGGACACCTTGTATCAAGAAGGAACAGGTGTTGTCTTTCTAGTACACGGCCTGGTTAGGGGAGACCAGTCATTTAGCGAGCTTTGTGGTGTTCGCATCCAGCAGGCCGTTCAAACAAAATTTCTTCCTTGATCTATTCTGCAAATCTGGTGATGGGCCCTAGCGGAGACGTATGCGATGCCGGACTCTTTGTTCTACCACAGTGCCCATGTACTGAGGCAGTAGGTTCACATAGCATTGCTGCTATTCAATTGTTGTTGCTTAGTACGTCCTTTGAAGGCTATATGGGTCTTGCATTCGTCGCACGTCCTATCGGTGCACATGGGCACATACTTCTAGTATAAATGGACTGTCAGCCCCATCGTTCATGCAATCAGGCAGAAACCTCCCTCATAGTCATGCGATCATTCTCCGCCTTTTTGTTTGCAGTCCTCATCGCGGCCAGCAGGTCTACATCATGGGCCTCGGTCACCATCCCATTGAGAAAGCTTGAGTTTACTGGGTCGTACCTTCAAGGTTCTCCACACGCTGATCGTGCCCGAGCAGCATCGTTCTTAGAGACAACCAGTGGCCCAGAGACCATCCCGGCTACAAGCATGGGATACCAGTACACCGTGAGGGTTGGTGTCGGCAGTCCCGCCACCTACTATGATTTACTTGTTGACACGGGGAGTTCTAACACATTTGTTGGGTCAGTGCTTTTGTAGAGAATTGCCCTTGCAACTTGAATGACTGATGATGACGCGTAGAACGGGAAAAAAATATGTCCGTACATCAACCAGTGTCCCCACTGGACAGAATGTCACTGTCACCTATGGAACTGGAACTGGCTTTTTCAGTGGTATCGAATGTTTGTCTTCCTCAGCACTTAGTCCCAGTACTTATATATAAACTGATATGACCTAACCGATCAGACAATGACACGGTGACTCTCGCACCTGGCTTCGCCATCAAGAATCAATCCATCGGCGATGCTCTGAATTCCTCAACTTTTGAAGGCGTCGACGGCCTAATTGGCCTTGGACCAGCTGATCTCACGGAGCATACACTGACTCCTGACACTGGCTTGATCCCAACCGTCATGGATAACGCTTTGAAGCAGGGTCTGATCAAAAATCAGATTTTTGGTATTTCATTCGCGCCGGCACCGACTCTTCCTGACACTAGTACGTGTTTATCTTATCTGACTTACATTTTAACCCATTTGGTCGATCGAACAGATGGAGTGATTACATATGGTGGCATTGATCCTGCTTGGGTGTGTACAATGCCATACTTCGCTATTTAAATTCCTGATATACCCGCCAGTACATCGGCGATATAACCTACACTCCAATCACCAAGACTAGCCAATCATCCGGCTACTGGGGCATCAACGTAACTCAAGCGACATATGGCGCACACACTGTTATTCCTCAGTCAACCGCCGGCATAGTCGATTCGGGCACAAATCGTGCGTATTATTTGACTCGATATCACTCGCATCACCCAACTGCACATCATCGCAGTGGTCCGCCTTGCGGATGATTTCTTTTCCAGGTACTTAGAAGCCATTCCCGGAGCCTACGTCGACGTTAACAAAACTGGCCTCATTGTCATCCCCCTTATCTCCGTCGGAACCATGCAACCCCTTAACTTCACGATCAACGGTCGCGTGTTCACCATGGATGCAGCTGCACAACTCCTCCCAATGCGCGAGCACCTCAACCCTGGTGGTGCACGATACGGCGTCATTAATAAGGCCGGTGCTAACAGTGGGAGCGGCTTCGATTTCATCCTCGGTCTGAAGTTCATGGAGAGGTATTATGTTGTGTTCGACGCCGATAACAGCCGCGTTGGCTTTGCGTACACGTGAGTCAGCTCGACCTGGTGTTTAACTGAGAATGGAGGTTGATATTTTCGGACTAGTAATCACACCTTCACGAGAAACACGCCTGTTGCCGAGCGCGAACTACGTATCACTGGGGAATAACAAGTCCGATAGAATGGATAAATAGAGATGCGGACGATGCCATGGAGAGCTCTTAGCTCCAATGTGGTGGTTCGACGTACGCTTGATAGAATTTGATTTTCGACCTGCCAAAGATTTTGTGAGGATAATGGAGGCGCCTGTGGATGCCCAAAGACGAGGAGCCATTTCCGACATCTAAACGGTTGAATAGCAACATCGTTTCTATCATTCCCGTCCACCACAGATCACAGCCAGCCTCCCAGTTCAGGATCCACTCTCCATTGAAAAAACTCAGGTCACACCCGGCATGTCTGTGCGCCAACTGGGTCATCTCTGGAGCACGGTCTATTGACTGTGTACTAGTATAACTTTAAAAATGTGAAAACATTCACGGTGGCCGTCCAGTGCCATCCCTGATCAATGATAACTTTGAGCATCTTGACAAAGTCGCTGTAACAGCTCGACTGTTACTTCTGGGAATGCAAGCACTGTGGTCACCTCGACAATTTTCCTGGTCCCAAAATCTAAGGTCGCGACAATAATCTATCTAGCCATATCATCTGAGTCTCGCCGGTTTACTGATGACTGCAAGGATGCCTCCTGAGTTTTGCTGAAAGCTTGAGGAATCATCATGAACAAGACAGGTGATGGTGGTGATCGAGTTCTCTCATCAGCTACTTCATCCAGTTCTGTTGCCATAATCAATATGTTGACTACAGTGGGCGAGGCCTAGGCGTCGTTGATGTTTTCGGTAGGATTCCATAGGAAAGTTTCACCGCCAGAGTTATGCCACTCGGCAGAACCGGTTATTCTGCCAGTTCTGCCCAACACTATGCAGCAGGCTGCAGCCGCATCATAGGCGTCAGAAACTGAGCCTTCGCTTATATAAGCACAATTGTAGATTTCTGCTTTACTCAATCATGAAAATTTTAAATAGGGACGAGATCCTGCGCACATGGTGGCCGGTGGGGTTCTTGTGTTCTTTCTCGTCTATTGTGCGACGCTGTAACCGCGACAACAGGTCATCATTCTCTGGAAATACGGAGTCCTTCATCGCGGTGTTAGTCTTACTAGCAATCTCATGGTCACGGTATACAGGACTCCCTTCAGATGGTCGGACAATTGGCGTCCTTGACTTGAAATATTCCTCATGATAGCCGGGAGTCCAAAGAAATTCATCACGCTTGAACTACTCACGCGATGGGAGGTTGGCAGAACTTGGCAGAACTCCAGCTTCTTGAACGCGCCGCGGGCCCAGGTGTCGTCGCGCTTCCGACGTGGCAAACGGTATCAATCCTCTTAGTGTGGATATTGCGCTGGCAGCCTTCCACGCCTGCGGCCTGGCCCATGTCCCATTATTCTTCATGTAATCATGTACATTTTTTTCCAATTACTGGCGCTGCAATGCAACGATTCATATCAACAATCTGCTATGTTGGCAGAGTATAACCATTCCAGTCTCTCTTTCGGACACCTTGTATCAAGAAGGAACAACTGTTGTCTTTCTAGTATACGGCCTGGCTAGGGGAGACCAGTCACCTCGTGAGCTTTGTGGTGTTCGTATCCAGCAGGCCGTTCAAAACTATTTTCTTCCTTAATCTGTTCTGCAGATCTGGCGATGGGCCCTAGTGGAGACTATACAATGCCGGATTCTCTGTTGTGCCACAGTACCCCTGTACTGTTGCAGTAGGTTCACATGGCATTGCTGCCATTCAATTGTTGTCGCTTAGTACGTCCTTTATGTAAAGGCTATATGGGTTTGCATTCGTCGCACGTCCTATCGGTGCCCATGAGCACATACTTCCAGTATAAATGGACTGTCGACCCCATCATTCATGCAAGCAGGCAGAGACCTCCCTCATAGTCATGCGATCGTTCTCCGCCTTTTTGTTTGCAGTCCTCATCACGGCCAGCAGGTCTACCTCATGGGCCTCGGTCACCATCCCATTGACAAAGCTTGAGCATACTGGACCGTACCTTCAAGGCTCTCCACACGCTGATCGTGCCCGAGCGTCGTTCTTAAAGACAACCAGTGACCCAAAGACCATCCCGGCTACAAACTTGGTATACATACAGTACACCACGAGTGTCGGTGTCGGCAGTCCCCCCACCTACTACAATTTAGTTATTGACACGGGGAGCTCTAACACATTTGTCGGGTCAGTGCTTTTGTAGAGAATTGCCCTTGCAACTTGAATGACAAATAATGACGTGTAGAACGGGGAAAAAGTATGTCCGTACGTCAACCAGTGTCCCCACTGGACAGAATGTCACTGTCACCTATGGAACTGGCTTTTTCAGTGGTATCGAATGTTTGTGTTCCTCAGCACTTAGTTCCAGTACTTATACATAAACTGATATGGCCTAACCGATCAGACTATGACACGGTGACTCTCGCACCTGGCTTCGTCATCACGAATCAATCCATCGGTGATGCTCTTAAATTCGCATCTTTTGACGGCGTCGACGGCATAATTGGCGTTGGGCCAGTTGATCTCACGCAGGGCAAACTGTTTCCTGACACTGGCGCCTTGACTCCAACCATCATGGATAACGCTTTGAAGCAGGGTCTGATCAAACAACAGATTGTTGGTATTTCATTCGCGCCGGCAACAACTTCTAATGACACCAGTATGTTTTTATCGTATCTGACTTATATGTAACCCATTTAGTCGATCGAACAGATGGAGCGATTACATATGGTGGCATTGATCCTGCTTTTGTGCGTACGATGTCATATTTCGTTATTGAAATTCCTGATATACCCGCCAGTACACCGGTGATATAACCTACACTCCAATCACCAAGACTAGCCGATCATCCCTCTACTGGGGCATCAACGTAACTGAAGCGACATATGGCACACACACTGTTATTCCTCAGTCAACCGCCGGCATAGTCGATTCGGGCACAACTCGTGCGTATTATTTGACTCGATATCACTCGCATCACTTAACTGCACATCATCGCAGTGGTCCTGATTGCGGATGATTTCTTTTCCAGGTACTTAGAAGCCATTCCCGGAGCCTACCTCGATGTTGATAACACTGGCCTCATCGTCATCCCCCCTTCCTCCATCGCAGGCATGCAACCCTTTAACTTCACAATCAACGGTCGCGCGTTCACCATGGATACAGCTGCACAACTAATCCCGTTGGACGAGAACGCCATTTGGGGCATTGAGACTGGTGTACAATACGGCGTCATCACTAAGCTCGGTGCTGACAGCGGGAGAGGCTCGGATTTCATCCTCGGTCAGAAGTTCATGGAGAAGTATTATGTTGTGTTCGACACCGATCAAAGCCGCGTTGGCTTTGCGTACACGTGAGTCAGCACGACCTGGTGTCTAAATGAGAATGGAGGTTGATATTTTTGGACTAGTAATCACACCTTCTCGGCATACTTGCCTTGAGTTGCCAAGCGCGAACTACGTCACGGTATCACTGGGGAATAACGAATCTGATAGAATCGATAAATGGAGATACGGACGATGCCATGGAGGGTTCCAATGTGGTGGTGGGTCATCTCTGGAGCACGATCTATTGAGGGGCCCTCCTTAGCCAAGACAACTGCGTAAATTATGTGCCTGTACGGCACGAAGGTAGGAGCAGGAGATGCAGATGCAGATGGGAGTTTCGAATTTGGGACATGCCGGCGAGCCGTGGGATGCACAGGTGACTAGTCCCATTAGCTGTTGACTGATGTCATGAGTATCATTCTATGTCTTACATCTGATTCAATTCATTGATATGGTTGTCCGAACTTAGGTGCTCGTTATATCGAAACATGAGGCCAAAGCGGAGGTTCAGAGAAAGCCGTGAATGGTTATGGAAGTACTCAAGGCCAAAATTGCCCTCAGGGCCAGTCGGGCCCAGCAACCCGGAGAACAATCATATCATAAGCAGCGGCTATACCATGATCCATGATAATGAAAGAATCACCAGGAAGATGCTTATGTGAACCCTGTGGCAGCGTGGCCCAGAGGAAGATCATAGTGTTTTTGCTTCTAGAATATGAAGTCTTCTAGGATAATAAATTAGGATCTAATGCGTGGTATCTCACCTGTTGTGTGTGCATAGACGTCGGCCGGGATCCCTGATACATTTCCTAACCTGTTAGATGCTCCCTCCCTCCCCAGAAAGTTTAAGCGTACTTTGAGGTTGACCATGTGGGATCATCATGGCCTCATGAGAAGTTTAAGCCATTCTTGGCACGGTCAAATTGTCCCCTGAAGAGCCTCATTGGTACAGAGAGGAGACGACAGATAAGGCCTTGAGGAACCAGAGAAATACATTGCCCTCAAAAGTGATAGTGGATTGGCCTGTGCATCGTGATAAGCTTGCATGACATTTTCAGTGAAACCCGTATAGCTTGGACTTAGCTTCAGTCGAACGCAAATTTCTTCAGCTCGTGGGCTCCAATGAATCGAGACCTCAAAGTGTAATGCACTTCACTTCGTACAACTTACTCTGATACATCGACAAGAGTACACATCCAAGGATATTTCGAAAGATGTGTTTATGTTACACCAGTTCTGGCGATGTGAAGTCAGAATACATGCTCTTGCCCAGCAACTAGACCACCAAAATAACACGTCAGAGCTTTTAACTTCGACCCCATCCACTCTTCCTCCACTTCAATCATTTGAGGCTTGTCATCGGGGGTGACGCCTTCGTCTTTTTCGAGCAGGCCCAGGGCAGATATTTCATTCAAGTCCGTGTTTCTGGGAAGGAAGTATGCAATATTATCTGAAATCCGCTTCGTCAGGCGAAATAAATCAGCTCCGTGAATCGGCTGTATCCTTGAGAGGCTATATTGTGAGTGTGCCTCTAGTTCATCCTGGAAGTCCACGTTGTTGTCGGCAGAGGCATGGTTTTCAGAGGGAGAGATGTATCCTGGGCCACCCCAAGGGGGACTCAAGAAGACAACGTCAATATTGCGCGTTGAGTGAGGTCGTGAAAGATATGCGTTCGCAAATGAGATATAGTCTGCAAGGATAAACTCAATGCGGTCTGCAACACCATAGATGGCAGCATTATGGCGAGCCAAAGCGAGCCGTGTTGGGGAGATGTCCAGAGCGATGACTCATTTACGAGGATGAAATTAGCAGGACTGGGTGAGCGATATAACGGGCTTCTCACCATGCTCGCAGGTTTTTGCAAAAGCGATCGCATTTCCTCCGACACCACAGAAAGAATCGAGGATTGTATCGCATCGACAGCGATCTGCAATTTGTACGGCGATGTTCTCAGGTGTCACGCTATACCAGCCTTCTTCATCCAATAAACATCCTTGGTCGTATAAAGAAAAGTAACGTTTTCGTTGCGAAAAATCTGAGAGATAGCAGCTGGGATTGAATCAAAGGGCCTTTGAAATATTAAGTCGTGGCATGACGGACATTTCTGAAGGTTTTCTGGAACCTCGTGGGTGGTGGTGTAGTGAGGAACAAGGGCGGTGGCATCATATTTTGTGCGAACAGGAACATGGGTATCCGTTTTGCGTTTCTTTGTAGATCCGCTCTGATTTTGTGGTTTTTCCGAGAGGCTAGTAGCGTTTGGATTAATAAAGTCTTGTGGCAGGAAACGAGATAGACCGGTGAGATTTGTTTTTTTGCCCATTGCGACTCCGAGCCTCAGGGTGAACGTCACAAACAACACTGACACGTTGTGATTCGCGGAGTTATGACTTGGATAAAGTTTAAACGCCTTCTCGACTTGCCACTTCCAGAGTCCCAACTTTGAAGTAAGTACTATATATACTAATTACTACTTCCTGACCAAGCCCTAACTATCTTCATGCTGGAAGATGTCGGACGTCAACATGGATGCAGATCATGATGTGCCAGATTTCATACAAGCCTGGCATCCATCAGTTCGTCGACCTATCATTCCCCCCGATCCGACGACCTACCACGAAGCCATTCATCCTCGCGCCATTTTCGAGCTTTGTGAAACACCATCCGGGGAATATGTATCTGTTGTTTCCTATTCCTGCGTCCATTGTCGTTCGGTAAAGCAAACTTGTTCGCGTCTTTTGCCCTGCGATCGGTGCGCCAAGACTGAGCGACCTTGTCATGTCAGTCAACCAGGCTATCAGAAGCTTCCCCCGCCCAAGGTGGCCAAGGGTAGAAAACGTGCATCAACCCCTATATCCCCACCAATATCTGGAATGTCCCAAACCCCTACGGCGCCATCCTCCAAGATGACATCAGCTTCAAGATCCAACCAAGCTATAACAACTTCTTCAAATCCTTCAGCCAAGAAACAGAAATTGACCCATCCGAGCTCTTCAAGAGCTCCAAAAAAAACTCCCAAATGCAAGGAGAACAAGAACAAGGACGATGGTAAGCCTCTTCAGAACATACCACTTACAGTCAACCCGGAAACCAGGAGCGGTTAGTACCTTGTCAGGGTTTCCCATTCGTGTACATTGACGCGTCCGAATAGATGCCGCGGTCACTACAGCGCCGGTTTGGACTTTTGTTAGGCCTCCAAAGATCAAGTGTGCGATTGACAGCTATACAGCTGTCCCCACAGTCGATACCCTTCCTTGCACACCTTACACGCCTCGAGTCTGGGCTAATGTGAAGTACCTCGGCATAATGAATACAAATCGAGTCTAACTGGATACCCAGTCTCGCGCAGAAATTGCTTCGATATTCCCTGAACTCACGAAGTCTCTTACGGGTATCTCATGGCGGCAGTTTGAAATGCCCGCATTGTTCCTAGAACATCCCCACCCCGAGCATTCCTGGAGAGACAAAAACACTCTGGAAGTCGTTTTGTGAGTTCCTTCTGTTTTACCCCCTTGTTCACTGATCGGGTGGTGTCAAATATAGGGAATGGAATTATCGATACGGACCCGAAGTACTTGTACGTAGTGATTCGCATGTCATAACACACGACAAGAACCCCTCCGATAACAGTGATCTGGCAGCACAGGTTAGAACTCGTCATATTTGTGAGGCTTGCGTCCTGATTTCAAATCTAGGTGGAAGAAGGCGAGTCTGTCAAGGATGCAGGGCCCTTCTTCACTCCTATCAAAAGCGACCATCTCCAGTTCAATTTCTCATCGTTCACCGCACCTCTGGCTGTAGGATCCGAAGGTGGGCTCGTCCGAATTCTTTTTATTCTGTCACTTATATTACGAGAAGTGTTGCCATCCGATACCATCGCTATGTCACAGTCACTCACGTTAGCTCCAGTGCCAGTGCTAGATTCACTATCGCCAACGGTCTTGTCTCCACCTCTGGTTCCAGAACCCGATACACCGATAGTGTCTTCTTCGGCTCCTCAAATCCAACCCCGAATACCTGAACAAAGGCCATCTGAGATTGAAACCTTAGATCAGTGTCGCATGGACCAAACTCCCCTACTTGTTTTCGTATCTCGAGAAAGCGGGCTCTTACCACTGCAACTGGCTCCCGAGTACGCATGCTGTTGCTTGGGTTTATTTGTTATATCTGATTTGAACGTCAGTTTTTTGCTCGTTTTACTGGTCACGTTTGTTGATCTTCCTGCAGGTGGATATAAACAACACAGTCGTAGCTATTTCCAAGGCTCAACAGTGCGAACGCGTACGATGGCGCCTTACCTTGGAATGGGCACCGGGAGGTGAAGAAGGGTTGTTGGAAAATATCAATGAGAAGTCGCACCCATGGTGGATTGATCCTGTCGAAAAGGAGGCTGGCTCAGTGAAAACATCCAGAGACATGAACACCCTCTATTTCAGCTTTCTGCCTTTGGACCTCCTGGCGAGCTTCAAACCCAGCGAGTGTTTTCCAAGAGGCTGGTACTGCAGAGACTGCGGGATGCTTAATGCGCAGAGGTGTTTTCGACACCAGATCTGCCAGAGTTCCATGTGCAAAGTGATTGTTTCCCGCAACTAGCGTCGTCGAACCTTACTGATTATGACGGCAGCGTAAACTGGAGCGGGGAAAAGCAACGACCAATGCTGATGCCCTGATTTGCCACATTGATCCGCTACAAGCACTTCGAGGACCACACCATCGTTTGCCCATACGGGATCCTCTCGATTGTGCACCTTCGTCAGTTGGCAAAATTGATTCCTCGTGGGACGACACGATGCGGAATTTGACGTATCAAGTCAACAATGGTGTGAGAGTACAACATGTCTTCACCGGTAACCAAGAGATATTGCAACAGGATGCAACAAAACTACTCCTCGACATACAGAAAGATGTTATCCTTTCCCGCAGTGACCTACATAGTATGTATCCTTGTTGCTTGGCATCTAAAACGTGCGAAATTTTGGTCTCAGGCCCTTATTTTACCTGGTCTACGAAACTTGATCACGGAAATATCTGCTCCGGGGATCCAGCCGGACAACCTGAAATACCTAGACTTGTCTTCGACATCCAGGATATCTTGCTTCACTATATGCAAGCGTATGGCGAAGTCAACGATGCCAACATTAACCATATCATGATTCAGGCATGGGTCACTCCAGGCTCGAAACGGGTAAGCCAGAAAGGACACTCGATACTGTTTTTTTTTCCTCAAAAGCGATTAGGGTGCCGTTTTTAACGCGAAGAGCCACGTTGTCACCATCATTTGTCTAGGTGCCGAAGTCGTCATGAATCTAGTACCCAAACGTGGTTTTACGGAGATCCCCATTGAAAGTGCGAAGGACTGCATGGAGATTGATAGCGAGCGGATATTAAGTGCGTCACAGCTGGCGGATGATGGTTGTTCAGAAACTCTTGCGTCGGCAGCAGTAATTGTGCCAGACGACTGCCGCCAAACTGGTGGTGACCCTGACGTCACGAATCAACCTGACCCAGCGAGCCTTGCTTTGGGGGAGGCATCTGGACCGTCAGGTAATGTAGGTGATGCCAAGGCAGCCGGAAAGGGGAAGGGTACTACTGGTGGCAAAAAGAGCAAGCCAGCGCCCTTGGAACTTTCCATGACCCTAGTTCATGGTGATGCGATCATTCTCGAGGGAGATGACTTTGAGGTAAGGGCATCACGCGACCGGGTTTAATGTATCGCTCATCTGAGTACGTTAGTACCAAATCAAGCGCAGCGGAACTACGATTCGTGAGTATTTTGAGTTGGAAGCTTTTGGTTTCTAACTTAAATGACATGGCTTGGCTAGTTCTCATTGGGTCTCATGAGTGATCGGCACGGATCGGTCGGTGGTTGTCTTGGAAGTTTCAGATCTGAGGTTAACCAAATATTAAATATTGTCATTATGCGATAGTCTCTTGTTCTCGGGTCGTTTATTATGAGGGAGGGAGTCCTCCGTCGTGCATCGTAGTTAGAGCGCTAGAGCAAATCCGAAAGCAGCAATCAAATCTCCCAAACACTTGGACTGGCTGGCGCCTGCTGAGCATAATTCTTCACAGCAACCAACCTCCAAGAATTATGGCTAAAACATCCACATCTGCAGATACACAAGACCCAAACTGGGGAAGAGGTAAATGCTACGTTGCATTTCTCTGAATAGAAGTTGAACTTTTGCGCACAGTACTAATTTGCGGTGGGACGGACTGGTGAGCGAGTCCAGAGCGACGAACTAGTCATTTGAGCTCGGGTATTTATGAATGGATGTTGTGCGCTTTTCACAGGCCGAAACTAGGGAGGAAAGAACGTGGTGGAAAAGGTGAAGGCAATCCTGATGCGTGCGTCGTTCCCTAGCCAGCATAGCTACATCAACTCAAAAACAGTTTTCTATATCCCAGACCAGACCTCCTCGAACCCCATATCCTCCGTTCTCTCAGCAATATCAAAATTGCTTCCATACACGCGTCATGTAGCGGGTGTCACTTCATTCTTCTCGACGTGGATGGCGCAGCGTGGATGTTTGGGCGGAATGCATCTTCTGCGCTTGGCGTGTCAGGAGAGGACGTGATATCTATATCTGAAGACACTCCGCGACGCGTGCTTCCGACGGACTTGGGTGCAGAAGAAGGCACTAGATTCGTGCAAGCGGCATGTGGACGTAGCCATTCCTTGTTAGTAGGCGACAATGGACAGGTCTGGTCTGCGGGTGCGAATAACTTGGGTCAGGTGAGTCATGCTTTGAGTTCGCGATTTTTGTTGTGTAGGTTGACTGGCTGGGGTATGTCAGTGCGGACATCCAGTCGCTGCGCAGATACCCACTTTCGAAGCCATTGAAGGGCCTTTTCTCGATGGTGAAAGTGAAAGACTGCACGTCATCAAGGCAGCAGTGGGCATAACATTTTCCATTATACTTACCGATGATGGCAAAGGTACGTACCCCTTAACGTATTCCGTTCCTCTGCTAGCTAACGCCCCTCAGTCTTTTCTTTTGGCAGTGGGGAGAAGGGACAATTAGGAAATGGTAGGACGGGAGAACATATCATTACCGGAAACAAGACAGCGTTTGACATTGAGACGGAGCCCGGTGAGCTTCGACACTCATTTGGCAACATCACCAACTGATCTGTTGATAAAGTACCCGTTAAAGGACTCGACGATAAGACTATCATAGACATCGCGTGCGGGCCGCAGCACAGTGTAGCCCTCGACTCCCAAGGGTAGGTACCATCTGGACTCAGCCATACGTCACTCAAGTGCTATTAGCCTCGTGTACGTGTGGGGTTATAACGGCTACTGTCGGCTTGGTCTGGGCAACCAACAGGACGTCCTCATCCCTAAAGTAGTTCCAAATGTACGTGTTGCTTCTGTTGTCCCTCGTGAACTAGCATTGAAATAGCTTAACTTAGTTTGCCGGACCAAATGAAATAACAATGGGCGCTCATATCATCGCCGGCCCTTCGAATACCGTGGTTCTGGACAAGCAACAATTGTATTGGATGGCCGGAAAGGTCCGTGAACGTCAGACAGTCGTGTGTTATTTCTGATCCTTTTACAGTGGAAGAATAGCGGCGAAGGTGTGCATTAACTGTCAGCTCGGTTCATTTATACCTTCACTTAGCTAACTTGGGTAGGATCCTCTGGCTCACCATACTCCTCATTTAGATTTATCCAAGATCTAATGTAAGATTTCTGCTTCTTGCTTTGCTTGTTGATTTACGAATATGGTACTTTTCATCAGGGGTTGCAAAATATCTGGTGGCAGTTGCGGTGGAGTGACCCATTTTGCTCTCACGGCTGATGACGACGGTGGTGTCATGACAGTTGCTTGGGGGCAAAATGCGTCTTACGGTAAGTAGAAGAAGAATCTGCATGACTGATTTAGCCTGAATGAGGACTGCAAGGTGAACTCGGCCTGGGACCCGATGAACCGAAAAGCGCTACAAAACCCACCTCCCACCAGCCTCTAGCCGGAATTGAGGTTATAAGGTGAAGCATTCTCTGCTCGCATGTTGGTACAGTGCTTATATGACCCCATCCAGCGTGGCAGCCGGTCAACACACCACCTTGTTTTTGGCAAAACCAAATGCTAAATTCTCTGATCTTCCACGTCATCCCCTTGAGGTCGACGCCCCTGAACTCTGTATAGTCTGCGACAAGGATAACGGGGACGACGATCCTGCTTTGGAATGTGACAAGGTGGGTTATAGTCATCTTAACTTTTGATGACAGTGTTTACAAGGTTGGATCAATAGTGCGACCATCCATATCACCTGGGCTGCCTTGATCCTCCTCTGGAGGCCATTCCAGAAGGTGAATGGTTCTGTCCTAAATGCGTCGGTGAGCTGGGTGCCCTTTCAGGTCACGACTCCAAATCGTCCGGAAAAAAGGGCACCAAATCGTCGCCAGAAACCAAGGGGGGCACGAAGAGGAAGGCAACTTCGTCTACGAAAGAAGGCGGTAAGCATCCGATCGATCTTTCTGTGACCTGCTGAACCCTGACGCCTCTTCGTAGCTCTTAAACGTAAAAAATAAAGATGCGTGGAAAATATGCAGGACCCAAACATACTACACCCGGAACTATACCTTCTCTGGAAATGTTCTTTGTGTACTACATTGACTATTCTCAGATTCTTGGTGTAACGTTTAACTGGGTCTTATCGCTCTCGATGTTATCTACTGATCTGAAGTGTACATAGTCTTTTCATATTCACCATCTTATGGTGGTTGCGTTGTATTTTGTTTTATATGTAAATATTAGCTCCTCTCAGTGTCAGATAACACTGTAGACACTGGGAATACTCCACTCTTTATTCGAGAGCATTATTTGTGCGATGACTTATGTGGGGACTGCGTGCGACATTTTATGACTGTTATGCACATCAATGCGGCGGTGTGACTACTGCTAGTGTGTATAAATCCCTAGCTAAGTACTGATAATGAAAATAGCTCGAGAAAGAAGATGGTACACCTGACTCCCGCGGATTCCAATCGAAGGTTGTACCGTGTCACTGTGACTCATCTCATTGCAATTTGCATATATCAACGCTGTCCTCCAAGTGGAGTAAAAGTGACTTATGACAGGTTAGTGAGTCAGTGAGTAGGGTCTCGCCTTCAAATCGCCTGCAAGTCTTCGAAGCCATTGATAAACTGCGCGCTTCTCTTCGGACTCCGACCCAGGGTCACGGTAACTTTGGCATCTCTTGAACGGTATATGTGATGTCGGGTCTTTGATGTGGTGAGTGTCCTGTACTACTTGCCATTGGCAAGTCTTGGGGTGCATGCATCACTCACCTGCATGTCCGCGATAAACACAGCGTTTTCGATTGTCTATTGACAAACGGTATACGGATGAAATTTATAGTCCTTCGACTTCCTGGCGTTTCCCGGAGTTCCGTCACAGTGACGCATACCTAATGCATTGTTAGCGCTTGAAGTCAACACAGCAGTAAAGAGACATAGAATGATACTCATGGCATCAGTCAACAGCTAATAGGACTGGTCGCCTGTGCGTCCCAAGACTCGCCGGCATGTCCCAAATTCGAAATTCGGAATTCCCATCTACATCTCCTGTCGCTACCTTCGTGCCGTAAGGGCACATAATTTACGCAGTTATCGTGGTTAAGGAGGGGCCCTTCAATAAACCGTGCTCCAGATATGACCCAGTTGGCGCACAGACATGCCGGGTGTGATCTGAGTTTTTTCAATGGAGAGTTGATCCTGAACTGGGAGGCCGGCTGTCATGTGACCTGTGATGGACGGATATGATAGAAACGATGTTGCTACTCAACCGTTTAGATGTCGGAAATGGCTCCTCGTTTGTGTGCATCCACGGGCGCCTCTCTTATGCTCACAAAATCTCTGGCAGGTCGAAAATCAAATTCTATCAAGTCGAACCACCACATTGGAGCTAAGCGCTCTCCATGGCGTCATCCGCATCTCTATTTATCCATTCTATCGGACTTGTTATTCCCCAGTGATACGTAGTTCGCGCTCGGCAACAGGCGTGTTTCTCGTGAAGGTGTGATTACTAGTCCAAAAATATCAACGTCCATTCTCACATCAACACCAGGTCGAGCGGACTCACGTGTATGCAAAGCCAACGCGACTGTTATCGGCGTCGAACACAACATAAAATTTCTCCATGAACTTCATACCGAGGACGAAATCCAAGCCTCTCCCGCTGTTACGACCGAGCGTCTTAATGATGCTGTATCGTACACCAGTCTCAAGGCCAAAAATGGCGTACTCGTCCAATGGGATGAGTTGTGCAGCTGTATCCAAGCTGAATGCGCGAGCGTTGATTGTGAAGTTAAGAGGTTGCATGCCTCCGACGGAGGAAATGGGGATGACAACGAGGCCGGTCTTGTTGACGTCGTAGTAGGCTCCGGGAATGGCTTGCACGTACCTGGAAAAGAAATCATCCGCAAGGTAGACCTCTGCGATGATATGGAGTTGAGTGGTGCGAGTGATATCGAGTCAAATAATACGCACTAGTTGTGCCCGAATCGACTATGCCGGCGGTTGACTGAGGAATAACAGAGTGTGCGCCATATGTCGCTTGAGTTACGTTGATGCCCCAGAAGAGGGATGATCGGCTAGTCTTGGTGATTGGAGTGTATGTTATATCACCGATGTACTGGCAGGTATGTCAGGAATTTCAATAGCGAAGTATGGCATTGTACGCACAAAAGCAGGATCAATGCCACCATATGTAATCGCTCCATCTGTTCGATCGACCAAATGGGTTAAAATGTAAGTCAGATAAGATAGACACGTACTGGTGTCGCTAGAAGTCTTTGCCGGCGCGAATGAAATGCCAAAAATCTGATGTTTGATCAGACCCTGCTTCAAAGCGTTATCCATGACGGTTGGAACCAAGCCAGTGTCAGGAATCAGTGTATGCTGCGTGAGATCAGCTGGTCCAATGCCAAGTAGGCCGTCGACGCCGTCAAAAGTTGTGAATTTAACACCATCGCCGATGGATTGATTCGTGATGGCGAAGCCAGGTGCGAGAGTCACCGTATCATAGTCTGATCGGTTAGGCCATATCAGTTTATATAAGTACTGGGACTAAGTGCTGAGGAACACAAACATTCGGTCCCATTGAAAAAGCCAACTGTATAGGTGATACTGACATTCTGTCCAGTGGGGACACTGGTTGATGTACGGACATATTTTTTGCCCGTTCTACACGTCACCATCAGTCATTCAAGTTGCAAGGGCAATTTTCTACAAAAACACTGACCCAACAAATGTGTTAGAACTCCCCGTATCAATAATTAAATCGTAGTAGGTGGCGGGACTGCCGACACCAACCTTCACGGTGTACTGGTATCCCATGCTTGTAGCCGGGACGGTCTTTGGGCCACTGGTTGTCTCTAAGAACGACACTAGGGCACGATCAGCGTGTGGAGAGCCTTGAAGGTACGACCCAGTAAGCTCAATCTTTGTCAACGGGATGGTGACAGAGGCCCATGAGGTAGACCTGCTGGCCGCGATGAGGACTGCACACAAAAAGGCGGAGAATGATCGCATGACTATGAGGGAGGTTTCTGCCTGATTGCATGAATGATGGGGCCGACAGTCCATTTATACTAGAAGTATGTGCCCATGTGCACCGATAGGACGTGCGACGAATGCAAGATCCATATAGCCTTCAAAGGACGTACTAAACAACAACAATTGAATAGCAGCAATGCTATGTGAACCTACTGCCTCAGTACATGGGCACTGTGGCACAACAGAGAATCCGGCATTGCATACGTCTCCGCTAGAGCCCATCGCCAGATTTGCAGAACAGATCAAGGAAGAAAAGTTGTTTGAACGGCCTGCTGGATGCGAACACCACAAAGCTCACTAGATGACTGGTCTCCCTTAACCAGGCCGCGCACTAGAAAGACAACACCTGTTCCTTCTTGATACAAGGGGTCCGAAAGAGACTGTGCCAACATAACAGATTGTTGATATGAATCGTTGCATTGAGGCGCCGGTAATTGGGAAAAAACGTATATGATTGCAAGAATAGTGGGACATGGACCAGGCCGCAGGCGTGGAAGGCTGCCAGTGCGATATACCCACGCTAAGAGAATTGATATTGGTACGATACCGTTTGCCATGTCGGAAGCGCGACGACACCTGGGCAGTGGGCCCGCGGCGCGTTCAAGAAGCTGGAGTTCTACCATCTGCCAACCTCCCATCGCATGAGTAGTTCAAGCGTGATAAATTTCTTTGGGCTCCTGGCCATCATGAGGGTATCTCAAGTCGATGATGGTCGAGGACGCCAATTGTACGACCATCTGAAGTCATGTATACCATGAGACTGCTAAGACTGACACCGCGATGAAGCACTCCGTATTTCCAGAGTCTAGAGAACGATGTCCTGTTGTCGCGGTTACAGTGTCGCACAAAAGAACACAAGGACCCCCACCGGCCACCGTGTGCGCATGATCTTGTCCCCAGTTTCATGATTGAGTGAAGCATTCCGAACGAGAAATAAGTTGTGCAGGGCCACATCCGTGGCAGGGCCCGCTACCTTCCATAATCAGGTATCTGTCTGACGAATTTATGAGTATGTCACGACAATGGAGTGCGAGTGATAATGGTAACAGTCTGCTATTATTCTTCTCTTTTGTTTTCTGTATTGTTCACCAACATTCACTCGCATAACGGAAGCTGCACTAAGCACTTCAGGTCAACTGTGCAATATATCACGGCAAAAAGTGTACCAAATTTAAATCATGGCCTGCAATTTGTCAAGAGAACAAATCAGTAGAGAACTGAACTTCATCGCCTACATCCAAAGTCATGAGCGCCCGAAACACGCCCTCTGAAGCGCGAGCGAGGACATCAGAATCTAAAGAGAGATCTCGTACCACAGAAATATTTACGCCTTCGATCGTCAGCAGTATACTTGATGGCAGATGCTGCTGAGTCCGAAAAAACGAGGCGTGAGAAAAGAGCATCCACGGAATTTGCAAAATACAATATCCCGCAAATTCCACGTCCACAAATACCCAGCTACCAGCTAAAGGTGCAGTTGTGCTTATATAAACGAGGCACATCGTTCATACACATACATCTCCAGGCGAAACACTACATCTGAGATCTCAGCGGTATGGCGTGTGCGGGGGGCGCAGGACGAGATACAGGGAAACAATGCCTACCAGGGATGCGCACGGAAATTGTCTCCGAGATCACAGGCTGGGTCAACAGCACCGGAAACGATGTTCAGTGTGTGTCCTGGCTATCTGGCCTGCAAGCAAGGGCAGATCAGCCATTGCCTACACGATCCCTGAATGGTTCAACGATCTTGGATGGCTTGGTTCATGTTACTGCTTTGATCACCCACAAGATGCTGACCGTCGTCAAGAAAGGATTTTTTCTACCATCGTGGACGACCGTGATTTGGAGAGATGAGGTGGGCGGCAGTCAAAGATGCGAGTTGGCTCAGGATCACAGTGGATATCCAGCAGTGGGACAAGCTTCTCATGGAACCACTTGGAAAGCTCTCAGGGTTAATCATATCATCATCGTGATAGACGCACTAGAGCAGAGCGGCGAAGTCGAGATTTAGCTCCGCCTTCTCCAAATTCTTGCGGGAAATCTAGGTGTTAAACAAATCACCGAACTCCCAGCCAACTTCCGGGTTATCTTCACTTATCATCCCCTTCGCGACATCGAAGCTGAACTTGCAGGTGTTCAGCGTATTTGACAGCGTATTTGACGGATGTCCATGAACGACACTTTATCATCCACTACAGAGCGCGACATCCGCACTTACCTATCGAAGGAGCTAGAAGGGCTTACGAATTTTTGGGACAGAGATTTCACAACCCTCGCTGAAAAGGCTGATGGCCTTTTCCAGTGGGCACGTCTCGCCTGCAGATACGTCAAGGCGCCCCTCTACTCGAGTCCTACAGACTTGTTACGTCCCATGATTATGTTGAGCAGGAAAACTCGTTGTATGATATGTATCAGTTTATTTTGACAGAGGTCATATAAAAGGATAAATCTACCGCGTCTTGGCACACACAGCTAGCAAGATTTTGTTCTGTGATGAGACAAATCCTTGGCGCAGCTCAACCTATCGCTTTGGAGTCTAAATGTTATGCAGAGCTATTTTCCAGACACGAGCGAGTATTACAAAGTGCAAGTTATGATAGAACACATCGGATTCCTCCTCAGCAGTACCACCGACTTGTCTACCCTCATCCAACCTCTTCATGCATCCTTCCGCGATTTCCTGACGAACCAATTGTGCAGTCTTTCGTCAACGTATTAAAAGAGTAACGCGACGTTGCTTTCGAGTAATGGAACATGGGCTTTCCTTCAATATCTGCGATTTGAAATCTTCGTATCTTCCTAATTCCAAAGATCCCGGGTTGCGAGAACGAGTTGAAAAGTGCATCCCCCTATGTTGGGAGAACTGGGTCACTGGGAAAGAAAGTAGTTCATTGCGTACAGTACAACATGCGTATGGTGACAAGAGCACCATGATGAATACAAGGATATGCAAGACGTGAGGCATGGAAGAACATGCGAAACTTCAAGAACAAATGTAAATGAGGAAATGGACGGGTGTATGGGACGAGCAAAGCAACAAGTGATACGAAAGATGACCCTTCAGTTTCATTGAGAATATTAGGCACGACGTACCAAATGGATCTAGTGAGATGGTAGGCTCGTTCTCCTTGAAGACATCTTCGATGATTGGTTGACAGGGATGACAATTGGATGGCAGGAAAAGGATTAAGGGTTGCGAGGTGCTGACCACGAGTCGATCAGTACTCAGGCCTCGTCTTCACTTCCATTTCCTGTCTCGACGTACACTAGCACCGTCCATCACCTTATTCTCTGCCACTGCTCCTGTAGCCTTCAATGCCACCGCATACCGCACGGCGTGTTATTGATCTTTTTCTCGCGTAGAATCAGTTGGCTCATCAGTCGAATGAATAGTCAAAGTTCTAGGACTGCTGTAAGTTAACGATTTACAAAGCTACGAGGATGGGTGAATTCAAAATGACGTGAGAACCAGGCGAGAAGTGACAGAGACGGTCATATACTTTGGATTAGTCGATGTAATTGTCTGCAGTTGCAATCAACGCCTTGACGCCCGCGCAAAATCGTACACAACATAATCATTGTGCGCCATACTGAATACAGGAACTAGAACTCAGGCTTGGTATCACCCATTTGCACAGATTGAGGCTTCTAGTTCAATTGGGGGCGGGCGAGGCAACGAGGTAATTATATCACTATGCATTCAGATAGCTGTACAGGTCATCATTAAAGACAAATTTTACATCCTGAAACTGTCATACCTTGGCAAAGAGCATGACGATGGCGTAAACAGTAGCTTCTCGAACGACGGCAACTATGTCAGAGAAGATAGCCTGCTGCACGAATGAGGATGGTGTAAGTCGCCTTCCAATGAAAACATACTCAATTCAGCCCAGATCTCATAGACGTGACTGACCTTCATCCCCCTTTTCGGCGAACCATCGAGAACCGTGATGGATAAGACGTAAATTAAATGGGAGAAAATGCGACAGGAGGCTTCGGCGCGTAGTCACTATAGGACGATTCGAATACCATAGGAATAATGTCTTATCACACTCACCAACTCAGCTGGAATCTGTCCCGGTCAATACAGCGCAGCCAAATGTACTCGTCCTTCTCCAACCAATTCCACTATGCCGATGACCAATAGGCTCTTTTGATGCGAAGCTTGGGTTGAATGAGTTGCACGAAGAGAAAGATAGCTTCATCTGCAATAGAGTTAAAGTGGTGGATGAGGTTGCTGAGATGTAGTAGAGGTTTCAATGGTAGGATTGAAAACGGCATGAGAAACCATGTACTACTGGATCCGATCATAAAAACAAAAAAGTGATGATGCACCCCAGGCCACCCCTTAAGCTTCATGGACAAACTATCCTTTCCTGACTTCTGGGGGTAGGCACGACATAATTAATGCGTCTACCAGACCAGACACGGGGGACCGTGACACTTGTACTTCAGCTGGACTGCGTAAGTCACACCAATATTTCGAAGCCTCACATCGTTTGAGATGTGCCGTAAACTTCCTCGGACACAATATCTATGTACCGTAAGTCTGGGAGCGCATGGGTACGAAATCGCATATTACTTAGTAGCCATCAGAGCGGTACAGGGATCATCGATTACCACTGCCCTCATAAAAACAGCACAAGCACTCGGTGACCCGGAAGCTCTACCAAACCATTAGTACTGAAAAGTATCAACTGTATATATATCATACAAGTTGCGTTCCGGAACCTGGGTGACTCTCTGACAGTTCTCTCATCAAGGGTGACACCATATGCCTAGCAATGTGAAACTATTAGTGATACGTCAAGTATGTACTACGGAACTTGTGATCATCTTAAAACGAATGGATTTACTTCACTTCCTAAAGCCCGAACCCCCACCACTGATGCATTTTTCGATAGGTATGAATGTAGGTGCGCGACTCGACAGCTGCATATTGTCCTCCCCGCAAAGGTGTTCGTCAGCGATATCCTTCGTTCTTGCATCTGACGTAGAGTCGAACGGGGTAGACACTTCAGTCGACTCGACCCGCAAGCCGGAGGGACTCGTTGGACATGCATCAGGGTCATCAAAAGGTCTAATGTCATCAGGGTCCACCTCGATCGTCAGAGTCCACCGACTTTGATCATTGATGTCCCCCTTCTGGGATTCTTGAATTTCATGGAATTTGGCCTGATGCAGAACAATGCGTCCAGCCTGAGAAAGAGAATGAGGAAGAGAACGACCGCTTAATATCTTGCACTCAACAGCAAACCAAAGGCAAGATAACAGTACGCTAATGAAATTCAGTGAGGAAAGAAACCTGCGGTACATGCAAGACTTACTAAAAGATGATGTTTCCACTCATTTGTGTGTCGATGACGCGCGTGTTGCAGAGAAACATAAAGATGAAGATCACTGGAATGATGAGCATACGAACAAATAAGTACACTGAACCTACCCAATATCGCAATGGTCGTGCAGCTACCGTCGCGGACCGCAAGCTTGAGCCAAGCACGAGAAGCTTCTGACCAGCCGGATGAGTTTCCGAAGAATCTCCATAGCATTGTAGAAAGGATGAACATGAAAGTTACAATGATTGAGACGCTGGTCCTCAACTCGGCGATCAGATATACAAGGAGTGCGAAAATCCTCACCCGGTATAGATCCTACTGTGATAAGGCGAGATTATGACACAAGTGGGGGAATAGCGAGTGCCAGTTACAACCAATCGAGCATTGGCTGCCATGGCAGTAAACTGTGCGCCACCGAATATGATCAAGAGTGCACGGATAGATTTGCCTTTTCCATACATCTTGTGCACTGCAATGAGGGCGAATAAGCAGTCACTCAGAGCAAGACCGAAAGCCACGTACCCTGCAGCATGAGTAATAACTCCACAGAAAACAGCAGACACTGGGTCATCGTGGTCTGGTACCAGTACCATGCTCTGCAAGCGAACGGACCATTGGGAACTTCCGAGAGCATTCTAAATGCAAACCAGATGTTGAAACTAGCGACAGGGGTGAACATGTGAACTTGAGTTGCCGAACCGCCCACCTTGAACCAGCTAAACCAGCATATCTGATCACCACGTATAATTTGGCTTCTGTGGTCTTCCAAAATCGCCTGTTCGCCAGAAAAATGCTCGTCAACATCGTTTATCAATCCGCAAATAAATACTCACGGCCAGACTAGCCGGATTTCTTCGGTCACAAACCAAAGATACTCGAGGACCATGAGCGCAGTCAATGTCGCTGATGAGTAGGCTAAATCAAACTGAAAGAATATCCAGACAGCGATCGGAACGCACTTGTCAGTATAGCAATATTGCGTGCAACAGGATCGATAATGGAGGTCAACATCACTTGCGCAAGCATGCACAGTGGCAACGTCAGTAGTATTGAAGGAGCGACTAAAGTTGAAAAAAAGGAAGGATAGAAAAGTGGAAAAAGTCCGAGACTGCCTCACTGTAAAGTTGGACGGTCGGAGGAACTATCAAGTAATTATCGGTGAAGATATATATGTTCGTGAACAGACCCGAGCCGGACAAACCTAGGGTCACGGGCCGGCCTGACCCTGTCGGACGACTAGTGACATGCCATAAGTGCGCGCGCTAGACTTGAAGCTTTGGAACCGAACCTCGTGTTTTTACGTAATATCTATTATCCGATCCAGTCGGCTAAGCTCCGGGGGTCAAACTATGTACTAAAACCGTGAAACTTTACTTACTTTAAGTTCGAGTCGCTAGCTGCCGACGTAAATGTGCCAATCAGCTATTACTAATTAGTTTGGGGATTTCTAAAGGATATGCCGTTTGCTGCAAGCTTACAACAGTGGGATTCCCCCCATGTTCTAGTTTCTACCCCTTCCGAGTCGGCCCGTCCGGCTTGACGTTGTAATGCTAGCACCCATAATGTGGGGTCTGAGTCGGTGGATGAACATGCTTGAACTGTCGAAGACATGCGGCAAAAATGATGTCTCCAGTCACCGCAATGGCCCAGGCTCGGAAATCAGGATAGTACTCCACTACTCAACGGCACAGGGTCAATTAATCGATCGATTGCCCACGAATTTGATCATGATTCCATGTACAATTTCGTAGACGCAAGCGCTCCAAGTTGGCAAGGCTCTTCAAGATCGCAACCATCTCCTTTCGTGACTCCAACAAGGAAAGAATGAAGGTCCCCAGTCATGAAAACCCACACGCTTCACCGTCATTATCAGCTGAAGTTCGCGCATCTGGTTTGATTGATACTCGCATGGTGCATGTCACCCAAAATGTGTAACGTAATTCGTGAAAAACATGGTCAACGGGACTGGCAGCGTAAGCGGGGTCTAGGTGAGAGTTTGCATGGCGGGGCAAGCGGTGGAACTAACCAATAAGAATGACAGTGAGATATTGCTGATGAATACCACTGAACAACGTTCTCTGCAGGGGGTGTCGTATAGGCCCTACCTCGGAATCTGACGGCATTTTTCGTGCTTCTCGGCAGATGCCACATCCAGATCGGGGTCGTTATTTTCCTAATTGTTCAGCATTGCAATAGCCCGAGTCCGTTCGAAATTATAATTATCACAGTGATATTATCAGGTTTTGACACGACCCTCAGTACTTGCATGCAGGCGCGTTGCGACTGACCGCTTACTCAACAGAGACACAAAGACGGTAATGAGCCCCGAGAATATAAAACACGCAAGACCACTGCATGCATACACTGGCAGCGGATATTGGCAATGCACAGTTAGCTATAGTGGTGACGCCTGCAACACATAGAATAACTTGTCATTGTGATGATCTTTGCAGACGGAACCGAAAATTGTTCTCCATTAATCTTCCAGCAGCCGATTATCCATGCCAGCATCCCGAGATTACCCAGAGAATAGAGCCATACGAAAGCCCGGCGGGCATGAACTTAGACCGCCATACCCTGAGGATGATAGGGATGACTGCAGGACTAAGAACTATTCACCTGCACCACCCCACGGAGAGCAAGCGTGTTGAGTGATTTTGTCAAATGGTCCACGCACTGAACATAAGTGCATCTACGGCAATCCGGTTTAGTCTCGGTGTGATGATGTCAGGGAATGTTCTCACCTAAACCAGGTTGACGTTCGTTCGCTTGGTGGAACCGTGACGCAAGTCAATACATTTCCCGTGAGTGATTGAAAAAAAAAGTATTTACTATGGTCGCCCAGCACCCCATCCATCATTATTGCCCATCCACAAATCGCGTAGTGTGAAACATGAACAATCTCCGCACCCGTCGCCTGTGGGTGCCGGTAGGTACGGTAGATGCAATCTTACTCGTACGACCTTACATTGAATGCGTGCGCAGAAATTTGTGCATGTGCCAAACTTCCACGATACTCGATACCGCAATTAGCTCAGCGCTAAACGTCACGGTCATACTGCAGAAAACAAATATGATTAACATTGACATCTAGTTTTCTGCATGTGACTCACAAAACCACCAACAATAGCGCCACTGGCACAGCTCCACTTTTCCCCATCAGCACGACAGCCGCAGCCGGTGTGGCAAGTCCTGCATTTGTCTGACAGAAAGAATGGGTATTTCGGAAACAAAGGCTCAAATAACGTAAACTTGGCGTTGAGAAGGCGGCGTACGAAACCTTACATTGCTTTGAAGCGCCCGGGCACTCAAAGCGAGGCATGATCCGAAAGCCCAAGGAACGGTAAATCAAGAGAACCAAGTGCAACTGTGACATTGCGCTGAGTGTTGCATCATCCGGCGCATGAAGGGATGTAAATACATAAGCTTTAGTTATTCCTTTGAGGGTGACTTGCGATTGCCTTGAGGTTGATGAATGCATTAGTTCATGATTGCAGTGCAGATATATATTATTTACCCTTTGCCAGTAGCCTGCGCGCCATGCCAGAAGACACGAGGTGAATGATTTAAATCTATAACATCCTGATCACAAAACACGCCGGCGAATCCCGCTCCGAAGACTATCCTGAGAGGAATGAATACGGAAAGATGTGACAAAGTAAATCAGCCAATGCCATTCACCTGGTTTGACTTCATGGTCATATAACTTCCATTTGCATTGCCGGGGACAGGCACGTCAATTACTTGTGTGAGCACACATTCGAGCCAAGCTGGCAATCTCCGGCGATGTCCCGCTTTATTTGCGCAGATTCTCAGCAGCACATCCCTGTGACATGGGGACTTCACCTACTATGTGTGGAAGATGAAGCTTTGAAGGTGTAAATGATGGCAAATAGAATGATGGTATGTGTACATAAAAGTAGCACGCAATCCACCGAAAACGACATAGACCACGGTGCCAATTGACAATAGAAAATATGCAGCAAGTATATTCATGCCGGTAAGGCGTTCACAGGAGCGGCACCTCCCACTGAAACACGCGTAAGTAACCATCTAAACACGCGGCAAACTCACCTAAGAGAGATCCGCGTACAACAAGAACGCACAAGTGGTAAATACGATATGAACCACGACACCGAAGCGAGCTTTGACAATCTATAGAAGATTTGACAGGCCAGTTTCACGTGCATTGGCACGTACATACCTCCAAGAATGTATGAGTACTGCTCGCATAGAACCGCCCGCACCATACCACCTACAGGAAATTTGATCAGTCAAAAGCATAACTAGGCACCATCCGCGGGCATTACTCGAGCACATGTTGTGACCTATACCAAATACATAAGCTGCAGTGCTAGATTGAAGGAGAATTACGCTCTATGTCTAGGCGCTGATACTGATCACGATGCGCGGACGAAGATGACGTACATGTCGCGCCACACTAACCAGGGGCTGACGTAGGCAAATCGGCTACAGTCCTATTTGGCTAGAAAGACCGACACACCTTGACACTACGGGGAGCACTCTAGAAGGAGTATCATTATATGACGTGCACAAGCATAATGCGACGAACCGTGAGCTCTTCAGATGAACTTCGGGTGATTCGGGAGAAGTTGGATTGCTTCGCAGTCAAGCATAGCATGACGAAGGTAAAGAAGAACCCGACTCCTAGAAGTGAATCTAGAATTTGAACTCGATCGAAATCTTGGATAACGCGCCGACAACCACTCCATATCCAATACTCTGGTTTGATCCATGCTGTGAGTGAATGAGTGGCTCAAGAGAATGATGATTTCGCACCATGATTAGGCTTGAAATCTATAGATTGAGATATCGTTATAGATACGAAACGAGTAGACTGCAAGAAATACTGCTTGCCTTTATTTTTTATCGTGGCACCCAAGAATATCGAGAAAGATAAGCAAAAGTCATTCGTGTGATACATTCATTGTTCGTCGCACAACAGGTGCTATCGCTTGACAAGCACGGAACAATGAGAATACTTACAAATACCAAGGAGGGCCGTGTCGTTCTACCCTGGTGCATCTTCATCAGTGGACTGGTGAGTTCTTGCTGGCGAATATCAAGGGCCAATGTCCTATAGTTTATGCCAGGAAAGAAGCCCGTGACCGTAACAAAGGGAGGCTTTAGTTCGATGGTCAGGTATAGGTCATTCTCACTGGTATTTGTGGTCTTGATGTAAGCACCACTGGGCCTTGGTACGACGTGCGCGGGAGTCGGACGTGAATGCATGCTATACGCATGAAAAACTGAATTTGATCTATGGCCTCGCTGCGTGCTTCAAACATTTCCTTCTAGTCTACGTGAGGCTAAGATTGGCACTTTTCGATTGTCTCCCATACACTGGTCCGAAATCTATGTATGGGTCACTGGGTTAGTGGCTTTGTCCGCGTTACCATATACCATGAGTAATATCAGCTCACCTTGTGACAAGATCATTTTGATTGTCGGATGCACTCCTGTTCAAGCGCTTTACTCAGCTTCTGAAGTTGGGCGGTGATTGAAGTATCACTACCCTTGGAGGGTGTACTACGAGCTTGAAAATCGTCGAGGAAATCATTGACGCGAGAAAGAGCGTGTCTGGAGGAGATTGGGACTGATGAAGCGGCTTGCAGACGAGCTGGAGGATGAGCTATATCGTCCATGATCTATAACTTGTTGGCTGGAGCTCGATGAACGCTGGTGATATATTTTAGGCTATATGTTGTTGATGATGATCCTTAGAAAACAGTACTAGTACTAGCTAGGTAAGACGTTCCCATGTGAACCGTGTACCATATTCATGAGATTCTACATTTCTTGCAGTCCTTCTGCCAATCACCTCTCCCACTTTGCATTGATAGAGTTTGAGAAACGTAGAGGTTTCAATTGGCTGGTTTCTATATAGATGCAATGCTACTCGACTTGCTAATAGGTAGTGAAGGTTATGAGCAAGTGCCATAGGCAGGTGCCATGTTGTATTACCCCACGGCCCGGAAACTTCCGTGAGGGCAGTTCATTTCATTAGCGCCAGGCGACGTTTTTGTGGTTCAACCGCGTTCACATCAGGTGGGGAAGCGACAGCTAGCAAGTGCTCTCTTTTTATTCGACACTACTACTTCCAAACGAACTTGCACCGACATCTGCAACTATGGGAAAATTAACCTCAATGCTAGGTCTCCTCTTGACACACCCTCTTGAATTCAGAACTCTTCTTCAATTCTACCTTTACCATGAGACGAAACGCGACATCACGGCTCAACAAGAGCACCCCACGTCAGGCTGGGATCGCGCCTCCATGCGCCGCTGCTGGAAATTCCTTGACTTGACAAGCAGAAGTTTTGCAGCTGTCATCAAGGAGCTTGAGGGCGACCTTGCAAGAACGGTAAGCACTTTGCCTCTTTTGTGTTCCTTCTTTGCTTGGGTCTCTGCCCATGTTTCTTGTTCAGTTTTAACCAGCCAATCATTCCTTCCAACCTATCCACATGAATGACCCTTGACTTTCCAGATTTGCATGTACTACCTCATCATGCGCGGCCTGGATACAATTGAAGATGACATGACTATCCCCGACGAGAAGAAGCAGCCAATACTCCGCCAATTCCACGAGTTGACAGTAACGCCTGGCTGGAACTTTACAGAGAACGGCCCTGATGAGAAAGATCGACACCTGCTCCTCGAATACCACATTATCGTAGAAGAAGTCAACAGACTGGCACCCCAGTACGTCCATATCTTCAGTCACGCTCTTCTATCTAACACCTACCGCAGGTACAAGACTGTCATTCTTGACATTTGTCAGAAAATGGAGAATGGTATGGCAGATTATGCACATAAAGCCGCAACCAACGGCACTGTTTACCTCGAGACTATTGCGGACTACGACCTCTACTGTCATTACGTCGCAGGCCTCGTAGGTGAAGGCCTCACTCGCATTTGGTCAGCCTCGGGCAAGGAAGCGTCTTTTCTCTGCGATCAACTCGAGCTAGCAAACTCCATGGGTCTTCTCCTCCAAAAGACCAATATCATCCGTGATTTCCGGGAAGACGTCGAGGAGAGACGTTTCTTTTGGCCTCGAGAAATTTGGGCTAAATACGGCTTTACCGAAATGAAAGATATGTACGAGAAGGGCGATATTGAGCATGCTACATGGATACAAAGCGGCATGGTTCTTGATGCTCTGCGACACGCATGCGACTCTTTGGACTACCTGCACCTACTTAAAAACCAGAGCGTGTTTGTGTTCTGCGCAGTCCCCGCTTCCATGGCAATGGCCACATTGGCACTTTGCTTCATGAATCCAGAAATGTTCCAGCGAAACATTAAGATACGAAAAGCGGAGGCTGCTCAAGTAAGTCATATTCACCTATAATTCATCTACGCATGCTGATGACATTCTGCAGCTTATCATGCGGTCAACAAATACCAGAGAAGTTGCCCTAATCTTCCGGGAGTACGCACGAGTGATTCACCATAAGGCAAAACCGCATGATCCAAATTTCCTCAAAATTTCAGTGATGTGCTGCAAGGTACTTCATGCGCACCCTCGTATTGTTCGTCTATGACCAAACATCATTATTTAGATCGAACAATGGTGTGAACAAAATTTCCCCTCGTTCGTCATACTGAACGAAAGGGGGCCGACATACGACTCTGCAGACAAGAGAACAGCCATCTTCAGAGCAGAGGAGAAAAAGGTAGCCGAGCGTCTTGCCGCAGATCCAAGGAACGCACCCTTACCTCAGGACTTTTTTCCATGGGAGCTTGCCGCCTATGTCGTTGGCGCAATGTTGCTTATGCTGGGCCTCAGCGCTCTTATCGTGTGGGTCATGCTCAAGTTCATTCCACAGGCATAAAGTTTGGGATACCAGACTATCGCGTTTGGTATTTTGATCTTGGAAAAAATATGTAGTATACCTCTCAAACTTATTGTTACCATTAATGGGCTGGGATGCTTCTTGATACCGTCGTTACTTATCTTTGTGCATCCTGTCGATGCCTGTGTTATTTGGTGCTAGCTGAATCAGAGTGCTGTCGCATGTGACGAGACTTGTGAGAATTATGAAGTCGAGAAACAAATAACTGGAGGATGAGACTCGAGTTACTTGAGAGCTTGACAGCGGGCAGACGAGGACCATCTAAGAGTCTGCTATCACTATGAGTATGTTTATTGTTCGGGTTCAGTTCTTCAAGTTCGGACAATGTGTGTGTCTTATCGCTGTGTTCATGCGCAACCTTGTGAGATCGATTCCTCTCCCGTAAGCATAGCATGAGGGTGCCTGGGCTGTCAATGGACGCCTCTAAGCTTCAACCCCAGGGTTCAACATTCAGATGCGGGCCCATGGTGTCTGCCCCGTCAGTCTGGGTGATTATGACGCTCCAGAGCGAACTTTAATGAATTGCGCTACAGTTGCGTCCTTGAATGATTCTATATGTATATGCTGTAGTACGAGTCCATGGATTACTATCCACCGATAGAGGTGGACCAACGGGAAGGGCCTGTGAACCGATCAATGGTATGCAGCTTGGTTGCGCCGGTTCACGAGATTTTGGAAACGGGTCTAGTTTATGAAGTGTCAATTTATTCGAGAGCAAATTTCTTGTTCATCAAAGACAGACAAAAGCAGGGACCGTAAAACCGTGCCATCCAGTACACTTTACACCATATCATACACATCGAGTACAAACCAAGTCTACTTCGAGTTCATCATCGCTCGGATGTGTGCTTCTCTGGTTGTGTTCACGACTTCAAACGAGAAGTGAAATGGTTCAGGGTGACTTCGGCAGAGTCAGTTGCAGGTTATTGAATACATACTGGGTCACTTACGTGACTATACCAGTGGTGAACTCTGGCTTCACCTCAATCCTGTCTCCGTTCGAGTCTTTGGCATGATCGATGCGCAAGACGGCGAGTATGGCAGCAGTCGCACTCCACAGACCGTTACCTGCAAACCAACGACCTACCAAAGGCATTTGTCATAACACTGCCAAATCAGCGATGAATCAGCCTACCAGGACAAATACGCCTGCAAGGGTCAGTGGATGATTGAAGATAATAGTAAGGTTAGAATATTCACCTGCCATGACCAAAGGCAAAATGGTTGACGATAGTGCTCTTCAGTTTCCCATCGACGGTCAAATGGCGGCTAGGATCGAAGCGTGATGCATCGGGAAATATGTCTTCATCCCGAGACAGTGCCCTGAGCAATGCTCAGCTCAACCCATTACATGCACTACAGCCTGACATACCACTGATTAACCATTACCATTGCACCTGATCGAACTATATATGAGTCAATGATAACCTTGATTCGTACGACTTCGAACCTTTGGGTATAAAGTACCCGTCGTAAACATCATCATTCGATGTTTCATGTGCGGCGCCTATGCAAGGGGTCAGCCATGCAAACACAAAGCTATATTACCACCGACTAACCTAAGGGGGCGGGAGGATGCCATCTCAGGACCTCGAGGAGAATGGCATCAAGGTATGGTAGTGACGCCCTGTCATCAAGGCACGGCATGCTGTCATGCCCCACAACTTGGTCAATGTCTGCACGAGCACGGGATTGGATATCAGGATGGAGCATCATAGCCAGCAGGAATGCCTGCAATATGGATGCAGTCTGCGAGACATCAAAGTAAGAATCAGAAATATTTCAAGTAAGTAGCGACTCACGGTTTCCATGCCAGCTAGTAAGATGCCGTATTTTCGTCAATAGATGAGCTCCGTCTGGGTGAAAACAAATTCCTACCCATATATCCCGACAACGCAATAGCCTTCATAATGTCTTCGTCAGTGTCGTCGTGAGCTTGACTGAAAAAGTCAGCAACCAATGAGCGCGAAGCAGTACCATCTGCCTTTACGCAAACCGATCAGGCGAAACTTTCATCCACAAGTCTGCGCGAACGTACTATCTGTGCCTTCGCTTCGTTAAAGGGCTCGTTCAAAAGTTGTTGACACAATTCTCTACAACGTCCCATCAGGGCAAATGCTCCACCAAAACACCAAAACGGCAACTTTTCGACTGCAACCTGATGCTGAATGTTCAAGATCATGTCGTCGACAGAGGCACTCACGGAAAGGAAAGGCTGTGAACATGACAGCCTTTTCGGGAGAGAGAATATGTGTTATAATATCAAGCGTTTCGTGCGCGCGGGAAGATAATGAGCCTTGATTGGCGAGATGTCCGTATGTCACGGTCATGATCAGGGATCCCGAGTATCTGTCACAAGGATTGATCGTCAACTGGACCATACGTCACAACGATATCCTTGAATTAGGTACGAACGCTTCGGTGTGATGCTGCAGTGAGTCCCTAGTGGCACCTAAGAGATGGATGACTAGTTCATTTGCATGGCGAGAGTATATCTCGTGGTACGAGATTGAAACTTCGGCCCTAAGGACTTGATGGAACATCCTGCGATGTCGTCGTAAAGTTTCCCCATACGGAAGCATCACAGTATTGAAAGATATTCCAGCTCTGCATCGTCAGTAGATGAAGAACAAGTTGAATGGAAACCGGTAATGCATACAATTCGTTGGTGCGAAGAACGGGACGGGTAGAGTAATTCGCAGAACGCTTTTCCAGCAACTCCTGGGCGATGGTTTCGGAGTTTATAAAGATCATGTCGATCCCAAATATACGGGAGCGGAAGATTTTTCCTATGATCAGGCATGAAGTTAAATCCGGGAGTTTGGCAAAGAGCCTGGTCTACTACTAACCATATGTCTTTCCCCACGCAGTATATGTGAGCCAAGGACGTTTAGTATCCAATTGCAGCGCGTTACCAAAAAATGGTAAGGGACGAGGACCAGGTAGCAGAGGGAAAGGGGAGACATGTCTGCGAGTCAGACGCAAAGCGACAAGCAGGGCAATAATGCACGATATCCCTAGAGTGAAGAGCATGGGAAGGGATTATGGTCGAGGCATGATGTGAGTTAGTTCGCCTTATTATACTATCGACGGCTTGCTGCAAACTGACGATTCAACAATTGAGTGAGTCAGAGTGAAACCATTAGTTACATATATAGCTAGTAGATAATCAGATACGTACCCTCACGTAGTATAAGCTCAAGAGGCGTACTTATACGGAGGACACTTGATTATACTATATATAGAAGCTTAGTCGAGAAGTGAAAAACAAAGTGAAACCCCACTATACCGTGTTCTGAGTTTGCGCCGTAGTTGATACGTACCCTCACGTACAAGGTCAAGCTCAAGAGGCGTACTTCACTTGATTCTACCATATATAGAAGCTTAGTCGAGAAATGTTCAAACCCAGTGAACTATGCCGTGTTCTGATTGTGTCGTAGTTGATACGTACCCTCTCGCGACCAAGTCCGTCTGAAACCCCCCTTCCCGCCTAACTTTCGCACGCCGTAAACCCCTCTTCGGTGATTCTGAATCCTAGTAACTGCCAGCATCTGTGCGAAACACATTGTTAATTGGCGAGAGCCGCGGGGCATAAGTTGCTGGATTACAAGTTCAACAGCATAGGATACGGGTTCTCTTCGTCTGTCGAATATTCGTCGTTTGCAGATAACCGCGGACGATGTCTAGATTTGTTCGTGCATCTAAGTATCGGTGAGTACATGCCCAAGATTGCAGCACACCGAGAGACTGATCGACGATCGCGTCTCCCACAGCCATGTCTTCGGACAGGCAGCAAAGAAAGAACATGGATATGACAACGTGAAGGTCTCCGGCAGCGCATGGGATACGAATCTTGTCTCTGCCTCTGGGGTGACCACTTTCCTTCTTCACGTCCGTCCTTCGCTGACATACCACCCCAGCGATACATCAGCGTTAACTGGAATGCATCTGGAGGTGGCGCATTTGCAATACTTCCCCTCCCCTCCCCTTTTGCAGCTGTCCCAAATTTCCCGCACAAGCTTCCTGATGTTATTCCCCTCGCGCGCAGTCACACCGCCCCCGTCCTCGACACCGATTGGTCCCCACACAACGACTCTATCGTTGCCTCTGGCGGTGAAGATGGAAAGGTCATGATCTGGAAGGTCGAGTCTTCCGCTTTTGAAGACTGGGGCCAGGATCATTGGGTACCGGAAGACTTTGACCCTGTCGCCCGGATCGATGCATCACCACGCAAGATCGGCCAGGTTCTCTTCCATCCAACCGCGTCTAACGTCCTCGCCAGTGCTTCCAGCGAACACACAGTTAAACTTTGGGATCTTGCTGATACTGATCGCCCACGTTCTGTTCTCACCGGACACAGCGATACCATTCAATGTCTCGCCTTCAATCCTACCGGTACGCTCATGGCGACCACCTGTAGAGACAAAAAACTTCGTCTATTTGATCCTCGTACTGGAGGCGAAGCTGTTCGCATCACTGAGGCACATGGCGGTATCAAGGGCGCTCGTGTTGTGTGGATGGGCGATCTTGACAAGATTGCGACTACTGGTTTTAGCAAGATGAGTGATCGTCAAGTCTCCATCTGGGAAGCTGGAGGTCTTGGAAGTGTCAAGACGATAACTATCGATCAGTCTGCTGGGGTCGTCATGCCTTTCTGGAGTGACAATGGCATTCTTTTCCTTGGTGAGCGCCTCGCATGTGCTTAGCACTCGTCTTTTCTCATTTTATTACTTCTAGCTGGCAAAGGGTGAGGCGGAATTGAATGTGTTTATTATTCGTGGTTAATCTAAATCCAACAGCGATGGAAATATCCGGTATTACGAGTACGAAAGTGACTCGCTATTCGCACTAGCAGAGCACAAATCTCCGGATCCCCAGCGAGGAATCTGTTTCCTCCCTCGTCGTGCCCTTAACGTGTCGGATTGCGAGATTGCCCGTGCGTACAAGGTGTCAGGCTCATCCGTGGAACCCATCGCTTTCATTGTGCCTCGCAAAGTAAATATCTCTTGAAAGACTTACGATAGCTTCACTGACAGTATCACCAGGCAGACTCATTCCAATCCGACATTTACCCAGCTGCGGCCTCGTCAGAGTCTTCTCTCTCAGCAAGCGAGTTTTTTGCCGGAAAGACTGCTCCATTAAAGCTCGTTAGTCTCGAGAATGGTGCTGTGTTCAATGGTGCACAGTCGACATCCACACCCTCGGCGCCTGCTCCTGCACAGACACATGCGCCCGCATCCACTGCGTTCAGTGCACCTCCGCCTGTCACTAAAGCTGTTACCATGCCTACACATGTGCCACAGACACCAGTCCTGTTGAGATCCGAGTCGGCGCCAGTGCCTCGACCCGCCTCACCTATCTCAGAGTCTCCGGTTATCCTTACTCCGCCAACGCAAGTTGATGATGAAGTACGTTCTCTTGGTATCGATCTTGAAGTTTGACGCTTAAGCTATGTGTAGGGCAAGACCACTGTGTTAGAAGCTGAAGTCGATCGGCTCAATAGTGAGCTCCGCGCAGCACGAGAAAAGATTCGCAATATGGAGTTACAGGTCGAGGGCCTGAAAGCGAATGCAAGAAAGGCAGCTCAGGCTTTGATGGAAGCGTGAGGACCAGGTTTGTGAGACTCAGGCCGCAGTGGCTGTAAAGTAAAACAGTACCTGATGAGACTAGAGGTGCTTTTGGTGTAGATTGATGATCGTGTACATAGTCATTATATCTTGTATAACCTGCATTTCAATGGACGTTGGATTCTTTTATCTACCAAGGATGTTCCGAGCAACGATGGTAGAACTTACCTTCGTGATGCCTACATTTGAGCAACTTTGAAGACTGGTCCCTGCGGTCACGTGGTGTAGAGCACATTGTCGCTGCTTGCGGTCACCGCTGTCGAGTCTCGAGATACCATTACTCTTGTTCTCAACGTTATTGGAGTTGGGGTTTCGGTTTTGGGACTGATTAACATTACTTTAGGGTATTGTTCAACCTCGCCACTTCGTACCACATGCGTCGCGCTTGGCGCCGCATGGTCATTGACTTCTCCGGCTCTTCGAGCCCCGTATCTTGTAACATTCAAATACCTTGTCATCTTGCTCTTTGCGTACCTCAGTCGTTGTTCACCAACACTGAGGTACGCGTCTCGTTTGTCTTGCTGTTTGTTTCACACTTACTTAGAGTTGTCTTAGCGTCGTGCTTTCCAACAGGTACTTAGATAGTGAATGTAGTCGTTGTTCACCAACACTGAGTGTCGTGCTTTCCAACAGGTTATGAGCCACTGTGTCCTAAACGGCACAGAAACTGGAAGTACTACGAAATCCCTCTCATTGGAGCGACTCAAATCTTTAGTTCAACTCCTTCTCTGACGCGTCGCCCTAATAATGGGGAAATACGACCACATCCCAGAGTTGACCGGAGCGGATAACTATATTCCCTGGGAGACGCAGGCGCAGCTCGTCTTAACGAACGATGACCTCTGGTGTCTGTTACAACCACTGTTTCTTGCTATTATATACTTTCACGCTTCGCGTCATATGCCTTCCCTTTTTGGTCTTGTACTTACTATCTCACGATGACTTGGTCTGTGCGCACATATTGACCTATTTAAGCACATGTATTACGCTTGTATTCTTTACTTGAATCTTACTAGGTTTTACCTGGAATATCCTTCGCTTAAGATCTCCAATCTTAAGTCGTCTTGAACCTTGATTCTTAGTTAAAGCACTCCTTTAACTAAGTCCACCGAACTCTCTCTTGTCTGAGAGACTGAGAATCTCAACGACCGAAAACTCTGTCGAGTTGTCGTTGTTAGAACTATCCTAGTTCGTAACAAAAGATTCAAGTCGAAAGACACCACACATCTGTGTGTGTCCGATACCAACAGAACAAAGAAACGAACCAAAGAACTGCTGAGCAAGACAGCCAGCACGAACAGCAGACCTGACATCACTCACCCCGAAACTACAGGCCCTGAACCTTGGTACTCCAGTACCGTCGCTCAATATGTCAACATCAACCACCAGCGGCAAAGAATTCGAATACAAGATAAACCACCCTCCCATATTCAATGGAGATAGAGACCTGTCTAGATCATTCCTCCTATCCTGTAACGCCTACATGGATATCAATGACAAACTCTAAATAGATGTCCCGAGTAGTATGGGGCATACTACCGCGCGACGTCGCGTCGAACGCGTCAGACGCGTCGAACGCGTCAGTCGCGTCAGTGCGTTTACATCAGACGCGTCAGTCGCGTCAGTGTCTGTGGTAAGTAACCCAATGTCGCGTCGGACGCGTCAGTCGCGTCAGTGTCTGTGGTAAGTAACCCAATGTCGCGTCAGACGCGTCAGTCGCATCAGACGCAACAGTGGCACAGCATTCAATCCGAAAGTCATGACACCCCTCCTAGCTAAATGGAGGGTCGCGACCCATCCGATACAAAGGAACGTGATCAAAAGTCACTATCAGGGAGATAATAGCGTACACGCATGCTAACAGGATTTTCATGAAAAAAAACAAAGAAGCGGTCCGAGTCAAGGATAGTCCATCCACAGGAAACAAGATTTTTAGTTCCGAGTCATCAAGAAACAGCACGCGCGCATGCTAATTGCGATTTTTGATGAAAAAAACAGCAAAAATCAAGGAAAGTCGAGTCAGTAGGAAACAAAATTCCGTCCTCCACCGATGCATCACCACAGACAAGGAAGACTACGATAGCAGGAAAACGACGCGAAGCCAGACTACGATACGAAGCAAAACTACGATACGAAGCAAAACAGCAAAAACAAAAGCCAAGACTACAGGACGTCCCCCCGGTTAGAAACGTCTCGGCTTGGTTAGAACTGTCTCGGCTTGGTTATCTAAGGTATTATTCATATGGGAGCGTGCCCCTTCCTCCTTTTTTCCCACGGTTTTTTTTTTTTTATATCTCTATTTCATGTTTATTCTTCATTTGTCCTTTTCATGTTTCTCATTTTGACTCCCCACCCCCTCAAACTGCCTACGTACATCGACATGTCCGCATCACATGCTCGGGGCCAAGATGTGATCTTACAAAGGATTATGTTTGCAGACATTTTGCCAGCATTGACCCCATCACGTCAAACACAACCTCACCCATTTTCGGCTTCCAAATGGCAACTGGCAACGTTGACAAGGGGGGCATAACTTGGGGTTTCATCGGAAAAGTTCCCACGGTCAAGGTGCTTTCTTGAACCATCCCACTTTCAAGTATTTTGCTTATCAGTTTATCGCAAGACCATGGAATAGACTTTCCTTGACCAAGGGCTAAACCTTTGATTTTCATCAGAAAATGTTCCATGGTCAAGTAAGCAAAATGCAAAAATTCACCAAGTCTTGTGATGTGACTTGCAAAAGTGTTCTGTACCCTACCCCCTATGTTGCATTGCCCCTGGGGAGGAGCAGTCACACAAACAAACAAAAAAGCAGTCTTATATTATTATACATATATAAACTAAACTACTACTTATATATAAAGGGGGAGCTATTGTGGTGTGGCGGTGAAGCTGCCTATCATATTGGGTGATGTTTTGGGGTGTTGTGGGGGTTATTCCCACAGTAGGTGGCTAAAAATGCGAAAATTGCGGAGTGTGGGAATAATGTGGGAAGGCCTAATATGAGGAGGTGACAAAAATAGAATATGTTTTTTGTGAATTATGTACTGCCTGGTATGACAAATAGCTGAGTTTCAAAAATGCCAAAAAATGCGGCAGTGTATAATTACCATAATGTTATATAAGCAGAACAGTGGGTACAGTGAGATAATGATTGTATGACTGCCTCAGTTGATATTACATCTCGTATATCGTCTGTTGACATGCACAAAACCTGTTTTGTACATGAACATGGCAAATATCTGGCTTATAATACCTTTCACAATAGCCTATGGTTCTACCCCAGAATTTTCTATGCGGCATTCGTATTTTAACTGTTTAAAATAATACTTATCCTTCTGGAAGATTGCCTTCAAACTTGTAATTTGTCAATTAGTCAGCAGTTTCTCACACCTCCTATAATTTGCTCATGCATTTTCACATATTCTAGGTATGTTTTGTGTGATGTTCTGACATATTCACATACGCGGGTTTTTCATTTTTATGGTACTGAGAGGAAAGTTTGAAAGACTTCAAACTTCATTACACAATCAGTCTCATGTGACTTGGTGGCACATCATGACACCCATGCAAAGCTTCATCATAACAAATATGCAAGACCAACATTATGGTATTCAACAAGTTAACATTCAGACAGCGAGAGGCAGTGTACATAGCTTTGTATCACAGGTTAGCATAGCCACAGAGCACAGCCATTAATGTTAATTTGAAAGATTCTGGAATATTCTATTAGCCAAGTTACAGAAAGCCCATTTCCATATTATCTAAGCTTGAGTGTGAATAAGTGAGTGGAGAATAAGAAGAGTGTTCATAAAGCTCTTTTTTAAATTCTCACCTCTAAGATACTAAGTGACACACTGAGTGAAATATTAGGTTATTTCATTCCACTTTTGACACTGTTTCCCACGACATACAGAAGCATATTTGAGGCCACCATTGAGCCATACTTTTTACACTAGCTGGTACATGGTTATCAGTCATCTAGTGCAGATATATTCCAGTTCTCTTTTAGACACAGAAAATCTATTCTGTGGGGAGAATATACATATTTTCATCAGCAAGGGAAGACAAATAAGACTAACAGTCAGTCACTAATATTAAGAAACTTGGCCCACTTAAGACTACATCAAGAGGGTGTACTCTGTTCTGTCCTGTGTCACACTCATTGTATAGTGCCTGAGCAGCAGAGAGTAGGTTTCAAAGCCACATATTAGTTCGGGCTGATCCGTATTTAGAGGCTTAGTTTGATCTCCAATTGGTTTGTGAAGATAGGGAGTATCATTATAGAATTATCGCATAGTCGTACATCTGTATTCATTGAAGTCATAGCACTGCATTGTGCTGTGGAAACAACAATCTTGCTGGGTGGCCAAGAAAAGGTTGGGTCAAGCTAATGCCTAGCTGCTATGTCTATACAGACGTGTTCGACCCTAAAGGGATTTGCTACTAGAACGATGATGGATATGTGCGACCCGAGGGCGCGTTAAGCGCAGGAAAATAGCGGACAAGGTATGCGCGAGGTGTGGGGATGTATCCAAAGGTATCCAAAGCGTGGGAACGCGTGGCCGAAGGTGCGGAAAGTGCGGGAAAGTGCAGACAAGGTATAGGGAAGTCAAGGAACGAGGTTCGGAGAGCATGAGGGCAAAGGTATATTGCAAGGTAAGGAAAGTCTAGGTATAGGGAGGTATAAGGAACCTAATAGGGGCTAAAAAGCGCACACTACAAGGGACTACTTTGAAGGTAAACCTATAGGGAGAGGTATCCAGTATGAGGGAAGTGTAGTAAGTAATACTAAGAAGTAGTCAACTTATACTGTCTAAACTCTCACTCGGAGAGGGAAGGGATAGGAAATATAGTAAATATGTAAGGACATATAATAAGGCTGCAACACATTTTACAAGCCTCAAGGTAAGGAAATTCACATACCAATGGAGTTTGGATGGACTATGGATAGACAAGGGACCTTCCTAATGCGTTTCCGAGGTATCCGATGCGCGGGAAAGTGCGGATAAGCGGATGCACAAAGCACGGGAAAAGCAGGTTCGGGTTCGGACAGAGGTTACTTGCTGGACAAATGATGGACAATGATAAGGAAACTCATAGTGCTCTGTACTCCTTGACACATATATGGCAATGACCCATTTGCAGCCCAGGGAGGATCCGAGTGTCACAGTGCCAGTTATTGACTTTCTTTAGGATCATAGCACTGCATCAAGCCAGTTACTGATTCTGTCCCCCCTTTAGTCACTGTGTACTTCCTTTAAGAACTCAACACACTTTTTCCACAAACAACCACATTATCGACTGTTAGTATTTGTCTGAACCATTGACCATGGTAGGATATTGAAAATTGGTGATTTTACTGTTTTCACATCCTAGTAAGACAGTGTTACCACACTGGCAGTTTCTGTCACTGCTGGACTTAGTGTTTTTGTGACAAGCTTGACTCGGAAGGAGTTGAAGGAGTGGCTGAAACCTTAAATCATCGGTGGTACATACAGTAGATATTTTTACATGTATGCTACATGTTTGCAACCGATTCACTGTGCTACAAGCTGCCGAAAATCCTATAGTCACAGAGTCAGGTGCTCGGATTGGACCAACTCTACACACTGTATTGGCTATATATTGATGCTTCTAATTAGAGCCCTTAGTACATGGGAGTCACACATGAATTTGCTAGGCACTTTGCTAGTAGTACTTATGTATGTACAAATCCTCATCTGACTCGTGAATTAGTAATGAGTTTGGGAGTCATTGAGCTTGTTGTCCTGGGACATGTTTCTCCTTCAAGTTTTACAAGTCTCGCATAGTAAAGCATTGAAAATTAGTGCCATATTTACCAGTTACCATTTTCTTTCTAAACTCATTCTTTTAGACTTATGGTCATCAGCACAAACAGTGGTATCTATGCTTGATTTCTACAAGACATAATGATGGGGGATGGTTATCAGTCCAATGAGGATGGCTCCGGCTTACACTCACCCATATTCAGGGCTCAATTTCCTTAGCTGGACGGATACAGTAAGTCAGACCTATTGTCTTTTCAAAACAATTTTAATTATCATTTCACATGTTGTCCACAACAAAGTCCACTATTATCAAGATCAACTAGATATACAACATGCAGTAGGCATCCTAGCCTCTCAGTTGATTACACCAATATCAACATCTACCTGCACCCTCACCTTCTTGAAACCTTTTCAAATTTTCATTCAAATCAGAATCTTCACCACCATAATTCTTACCAGTCTGAGTTTCTTCTTCCACAAAGAAATCACCTTGGCCTTGACACACCACCCCATGCCTACCCTATCACTTGTCTTCCACCCCCTCCCAATTCACAGTGCTGCCATCAAATTGTTCTACCAAAGCCCCTGAAAACCAAAAATATTTTGCAAGGACTTGCACACACCATCTTACTCAGATGGTTGCTCAGCACAACCCCATGCAATACAAACTCCAGAGAGCACTCAATCTTCTGTTCTAATATCAGAGTCAACCCTCTCAACCACAGCCAGCGAGCCCCTTCAGTGACAAATTCCATATCATATGGGCCAGCGGATTATGGGCCCATGTTGTGTATATCCTTGATGATGACGGATGGGCCGGGAAACATATTATTTCCAATGGAGATGGGTGGGCCCATGTATGCCAATGATATATATATCCTTGATGTTGACGGATGGGCCGGGGGAATATGATCATTCATGGAGATGGGTGGGCCCATCTGGGTAATATGTAGAGTAGGATATTATAGACAGCTGGGCTGAAGAGAGATGTAAGGCAAATATTGTTATATAGACGGGTGGGCCGACGGGGGTGTATTACATATATGGGTGGGCCGAGGTAGGGGAATATTACATAGATGGGTGGGCTGACGTGGGGTGTATTACATATATGGGTGGGCCGACGAAAGGGATATCATCATTCTTCTGATAGTGGGATGGTGCGCTTTGATGGAGAAGTGCTGGAGGGTGGTCAGAGATTGATCAGTAGTTCATATACTTAATACTGTTCACATTATGTCAATCTGCGGATCCCCATCAGACAATGGAAGCTTGCAGAATGAGTATTAGAGAATGAGATCCTCATTGCAAAATACTACTATATTAAAACATTTTTCTGGGAGCGCAGAAACATGTCAGAATCAACAACATCAACAAGAAAGAAGTCTCGATGAGGATTGGCATAATCTGGAATGAGCAAAGCACCACAAATGATTGAATGAATGGAAAGGAACTCTGAAGATGCTGCAGGCCATGCATGCAGCCGAGTAAAGCGCAGGTCCTGATCAATGGCAAGCCGTGGGCCAATCAGAGCATCCATTGGAAGCACGAGAGCGAGATCCAAATGTCAGTCGCCAACAGTATACTTGAACATGAACAAGATTTGTGCAAATATATTTTTGGTGTTGCCGTTCTTGTTGTGAGTATGAATTAGTGCGCAATCATGGCGCTCATGCCCATGGAAGCTTGGACTGCAATGGGAGATAGTCTGTTGCAAGCTTCCAGTCAACGATGGACTCGTAGTGTACCTTGAGGTAGCGATATTCTTGTAGCTGCAAGAAATGTAGTTCAATTAGCATCACAGGAAAATAAAATAAAATTGAATTAACCTTGTCCTGAGCTGCCGGCCTCAACCATGTCATCCCATCAGGCAATGGTATGTTGTGGGCAGGAAGGAATTCATTGATGAATATCAAAAATTTCTTGCAAAATTGGTCAAAAGTGCACAATGAGCTGTTTGCTTGCCTCCACATCAGCAAAACTCATAGGGTGTTGAGGAGAACCGAGATAGATATGGCCCTGAAATGATGTGCCAATGTTTTTCGGTGTCCTCAGGGTCATTGATGTCATCTGGATCATTGTCATCAGTGGTCCTTGAGTTTCCGCAGATGCTGTTCATCAAGCTGGGCAATAAGCTTGGAAACAAGGGTCCTGTGGTCCAATTAATGATAATGATAAAATGAATTATACCTGATTTGCAATGTCCTTGTGGTTTGTCTGGCGTAAATACATCTGTTTGAGTGGTCCATGTTGCTTTTCATTGGGACGAGTGCTGAAGTTCCAAGCAGTGCCTTTCTCCCATATGTCATGAAATATATGCTTCCCAGCATGTACCTTTGAGAAGTTTCAGTTCTTGGTTGAATCGCCTGCAACATTGACATATTCCTGTATTACTGTAATTAGATGAGCAATGGATGATGGTGTGCAGGCTGCTGAGGCAGGTATAGGGCAGGATCTAGGATGATGACATGAGCTTGGGTGCCTTAAAGAAGTGGAATAGTACCTACAACACCTGCCAGACACTTGGATTACTGGCTATAACCGCCCAGTGATGTCGACGGTGTAGAGTAAGAGTGGAAGGGGCGTGGGAAGCCGTCATTGGGTGAAACTCAGGTAAGTCTGGAAGGTCACGGGATGTCCTCGTATGTGCAGGGAGGGCGGGGAACAAGTAGGTGGTACTAGCTATAGGTAGAAAGGTATTTGGGGCAATATTTAATGCTGGGTGTTTGACGGATTACTGCAACCAAGCCTAGTTAGGGCTTGGCATATGCGTAATCACCAAGCTTAATAAGGCTTACTTATTGGGAAGGCCAGGTGGCCACACTGTACAGAATCTCACAGACACTCCAGTGACTGCCTCATGCACAGAATTTGTGCACAAATTCAGGTGTCACTCTGCACAGAGGCTTACAGACCTCCTTGTACACAAAACTCAGCCAGATATGCAGTAGCATAATAGATCATATTGATAATAGAATGATAAGCGAGATAACAAAATACAGTAAACAGATGTAGGAAACAGAAATACTTGGACACGTGAATATGAAGCCTCAGTCAAGAATGATCTGCAGGTGGTCATGTTGAGCCCCCACAGCTCCGTCGACCCTCAAACTTGCGGTCCTGCATGGTTGAAATTAGTATCAAATAAGACACACAAAAGCAACATTCTCGCCATCCAGCTTCAGCCCACTCTTGCAGTTGCACCAATAACCTAGGGCCATGATACAGATCCTGAAGGATGTCCTTGAGCATTTGGACCATTTTGGAGTAGATAGGGCTGTATTCCCTCGCAGTAAACTTTGGGTAATATTTTCTGTGGCCATTCTTTGCGAGACCATTGAGAACACAGTTGTACTATAGAGAGAAAACTTGAATCAATATATTATAATGTCGAGTAGAGGTAAAAATACTACTGCTGTGCTGACCAAAGCCAGACATGACACAGGCAATTGGTTGTGGAATATGTCTGGTTGCCTGTGTGCGATTCGGTAAGGTCCTGTGTAAAAGAAGATGATGACAGCGTCACAAAGTGCGGAATGAGCAAACTTCCTTGTTTTACCCTAGAAAGATTCCCTGAGAATAGACCCTGTCAGCGCAAGATCACTTACATATTCATCTAATTCAAAGCATAGGAAGAGTGACCCTTCCAGTAAGTCTGCAGCAGTGTGTTCTACCCACTCTGCACGTTCTTAGATGGGGACCGAAGGCGGGGAATGAGCGAGTATGATTGGGGCGCAAGGCTCATAACGTATTTCTTCAAGTCGGATCGCCAGGTTGCAAGATCATTGTACAACTGTAGTATAGATCTGAATCAATGAGAGCAGCGGGAATGTGAGTTTTATGCCTACCAGCCGAGCCATGTTAGATTTCTGTTGTGGCCAAATCCCTGAATTGCGACATGAGACAGATTGGTTTGAAGAGGGAACAAATGCTTATTGGCTTCAAATTGTTTACCATCCTGGTCCCATGCAACTAAGACTGAAACAAGAACCTCACTTACAGACGACGGTAAATTGGCAACTAAAGCTGGGAAGGGATTGTCCAGGGCATGTTGCACACGACATTCTCCTTTAGCATCCTCAAGAAAACATTTCCATCGTGGACCATACCATGCTAGTTGAGTGGGCTTTGGCCCATCAAGTTTCCTGGATTGTTTGGTTTTAGACCGCTGAGTTGGTTGGTCCTCGTCAGACTCGACTTGATGCAACAACTCAAGGGTTCCAGGATTGGGAAGGCGTGGCCGGCCATTCATCTTGTGATGGCATCTTAATACGTTGTTGGGTTGTGACATCGTGATCTATAAAGAAAAAGAGTGAGCCTCGACAAGGATGAGTTCCATCGTCTCACCTGAACTTCCTGTGACTGTGGCTGCATGTGCAAGGTATCCAGAGGAATCTTGAAAGGCAAGTAACTGTCAGCACAATACTGGCAAGTCAACCCATCATACATGTGAACTGTTGGACCGCTGGATGAGATGATGTGGAAGGATTAGCCGCACATGAAACATTGGTCTGTGCAACCGCGTCATCTTCATCGCGGGAATATTGAAACTCAAATTCTGGTGTAAGAGGATGAGTGACTTGAGGTTGCGAAGGAAGCTCTTGCCCAGAAAATCCTGTGATTAGTATTAGTAAGATTGTTTGAAAGACAAGGCGACTGATCCTGGTAGTTTGCCTCTGAGCACGCAGGAGAGTCACAAACACATTACCTGGATGTCCAGTGTGATGTCCACCAACCTCTCCCCAGCCAAACTGCTGGTGACTCATCTCCTTCTCCTCCTTCTCCTTCTGTTCGTCTTCCTCGTTGTTGTTGTCATCTTTGTCATCTTTGTCATCAGAACCAATGAATCCTTGCACAGGGATGTCACACATGTTCTGGTCCAGAAAGCCAGTTGGCGGTGCAACTGAATTAGCTACACTAGGACCAGTTACAGTTTTATGAGGTTGCTTCCCAACAACTTTCCTCCCAACAGTGTTTAGACCTGGGTCAGGAGGGACAGCAGTGGTGTGCATAGCAAACCTGAATCTTCCTCCAGCTTGACAGAACAAGAGATTTAGAGGCTGTAAGGGTTCCACGGTACTGACATCTGCGCGTGAGGTGTTAGGAACATTTGTAGTAGCTGATGAACTATATGGCGGGGTGCAACCTATATGCGAACGATCAACATAAATAAATAAAATACAACTATGCATCAGACCTTTGGACGACGACCTCAGCCCTTGCTGTGAGGTGGTTCTGGAGCCTGAGGGTTGACGGGAACAGTAGAATCAAGGGATATAGAGCCCTTAGGTTGGTGTACCCAAGACAGAGCTTCTAACAATGCTCCAATCTTCTCCAATTGAGCCTTCCCACCTCCCGTTCCTGCATTGGCGCGGCCAGAATGTCTATCAGGTTCATCAGTGCTTATTCTATCTAGACGGAGTGACATGAGTGGCGTGCCAGATGTCTTGACAGGTTCTGCTGCTCGGGGCTTCTTAGACTGACGCTTAGACACCTCCAAACCTTTGCGCTTGGTCTGTTTCTTCTTGGGGCTGGCAACAACACGAGGAGGCATGATGAGCTACAGAGAATTTGAGCAGAGAGACTCTGAGAGAGGAATAACTGATGAGCAAATCCAGACTCACCAAATATTTTATATAAGGACACCTTGAGGTTGAAAGGAATCACAGGTTTTCCCTAAGCAAATGACATGGTATGAAACAATTTGTCTTGAAACATCATGCATTTTCTATGCGAGTAAGCAAGGAAAATATGTCCCCAACCGCTGCATGCCTACTAAGCGATTCAATTTCTAAGTTAGCGAGGCTAACGTAGAATATAGTCTACATGTGAGAAAATGTTGTGGCGCAGCAACTTTCTTCTCGAACCACATCAGCTTCTGAACGTCATGGACAATCTCCAATCCTAACTCTATTGTTTTCTGCTCACATTTCCTTAAAATGGCTCCTTTATTAGACAACCCAAATGACGCAGTATTACCAGATTTCAGGACAGCTGATCACACAACAGCCAGGGCTAGACTCGTAGCCAACAGTGTCGGCAATGATGCTCAAGCAGCAGAGCTTTTAGCAACCTTGTGGACGTTAAACAACAATACAGCCAGAGAGCTCTGGGCAGAGCAAATTGAAGAAGCTGCTAGAGATGCCAAAGAAGTCTGAAGGCTAGCAATGGAAAAAGAATGAGACCAACAGCAAACCATCGCGGATGAACAAGAAGCAGCTCACAAAGAGGAACAAAAGAAAAACAAGTCCAAATTCGTTCCTGTAGGCAACTCCAAGGTTCCTTCCATACCAGTCATCATCCTGTCTCACTATGCCGTGCAGAAGTTGAAAGCAGGAGAGTATTGTGAGCTCTACTATTTCACTAATAAAGGCTGAAGGATGCTAAGAAGAGTCTACTCGCAA